TAATCGTGGCTACTTGCAAAGAGAAAAGCTAATCTTAATTCTCTATTGTGGCAGAGACTGACTCAGAAATGACAAAGTTATTTCTCGTAATATGGCTTTGTTGCGTTTTGACTGAAACAGAAGCATGGAGAAGACGGCGCCGGAGAAGGGCACCCCCTCCTTGCAAGGCAACAAACTGTCAGGTTGGAAGCTGGACAAGTTGGAGTTCGTGTTCGCATCAGTGCGGTTCGAGTGGTGCACAAGCACGAACGCGGTCGTTGATTACAGGCGCGTTCTGTGGAGGAACATGTCCGTTCCACTTGCGAGAAACTCAGGCCTGCAATAGAGGCAATTGTCGGAACGGAGGCACGCCGGTTAGCGGCAGATGCAGCTGCAGAGTGGGATACGATGGGAAATGCTGCGAACAAGGTTAGTCCAATAATACATGGATCTGAATTTTTGAGGTCATACAGGTGGTGTGAACAAGGCTGGATCAGTGTAAACATACAACTCTTGACAAATCTCTGACAGCCAAACTAAGTTGACGCGATCTGTTTCAAATGTTGTACCCATCTGTTAGCCAGTATCAGTACGATGTATATGTTCAAAATATCATTTCTAAACTAAGAGCCGAGATGTTGAGGAAATACTTTCAAAAGAAAAAGGGCTTCGTGGTGGATGATAGGCGTATTTTTTTATTTTTTTACTGTTTCACGATTGTTCTGTGATTCTCATGGTGTAAAAAAAGGTGTTTGTTAGACCATAAAAAGTTGTTTTGAGTTCCAAAATGCTTGAAATTTGTTGTACCCTGTAAAGATCAAGTGAATCTTTGAATCTACACTTCATTTTGAAAGGAAAATGATTAACTGAGCAGCGCAGAATTTGCTTTTCGGACACACACGAACTCAATAGGGTGGGCGAGGAGTAACAATGATTTCATTTTCCCCAAAGTTTTACTCTGACCAAGAAAGTTATTAGAAAATACATAACAACGTTCGAAAAAAGATTTTTAAGACCGGTAGAACTAAAGGGGGGGGGGGGGGGGGGGGGGGGAGATTAAAAGGGGTTATGAAAGATGCATTTTAAGTGAAGCAGCGCCGAACATTCCAGCCAAGCTGATATCTTGCCTCTGCAGATCCACTTAAGTTGAATGTCACAAACACACACCACAAAACTCCAAATCACGGAGGGAAAACTTTCATAAAACGTCAACGATCAAAAATTCAGTTAACTGAAAACAAATCGAAAAGTAACACGTTTTGTGGTTAACTACACAGCGAGAGACAAATTAAGAACCGCTAGAAAAAACACTTTAAAACCGGAGTGAAGATTAACAAGAAAAGACAGTTGATCGAATCCCGTTTGTTGATGTTACTTATTTAGAGATTATTTACCATGAGCGATGCATTAATTGCGCAACGGAGTTTGCGAATACTGAATTACAAAAGCCGTGAAAAAGGGGTTTTCCGACAGCGCCTCCTTCTGATGTAGTTGCGTATGCAGGCATAATAGAGTTTACCAATATAACGGGAACTGAAATAGTTTGAGCTTATGGGAGTTCGCAACCTTTTTTACCTTAAGTTTTCTGTTATAATTAGCCCTTAACGCCAACGTTCTTAATGCTGTGCCCATCGAACGTAAAGAAAGGTTGCATTAAACAAGCGGTACAGATGAGCGGTAATTAAAATAAATCTTGCGAAGGAAAAATGTCACAACAAAGCAGAAAGGTCAATTAAAGATCTCTGTCTTTAAATCGTGTTTTCGCTGGCTTGTTTTTGATGAAACTAAAAAAAGAAAAGGCAATTACTAATACAAATAAAGTTGTTGCCTTGAAAAAGAGACTGGTCTCAACATGTCGTATTCGTACATATTCCCTAAAAATACTTCCCACAAATAATCCATTGTTTCATGCCCACCCTACATTATATTGAAATTTGAGTTTGCGTATACAATTTGAACAACAATATTTCGAGCGGAAGTTGTTTTCTTCCCGATTGGCAGCGGAAAGTACGTTATTTGAAAAGAAGTGCATCCGTGTTTTCAAGACTTTGTAAAGTAATTAACTTTTACTAGAATTTGTTAAATTAGGGTAACGAGAATACTTAGCAAATACAAAATTTTTGACCGAAACACACTATGAAAAGCATTGTCTTAACAATCTGCTTCGTGGTTTTGATCACTGGGACGAATTCGATTTTCTGGTCGAGAAGGAGACGACGAAGGTCGCCTCCTCCGTGTAACGCCAGAAACTGTCAGGTTGGAAGCTGGACCAGTTGGAGTTCTTGCTCGCATCAATGCGGAACGAGTGGCTCACAGACTCGCACACGACAGCAGCTGCAGGCCGCGCAGTGCGGTGGAACTTGCCCATATCATTTGCAGGAGACGCAAGGTTGTAACAGGGGTAACTGCCAAAACGGTGGCACACCAAATAATGGTGGATGTAGTTGCCGATTGGGATACGGAGGAATGTGTTGCCAACAAGGTGAGGTTTTTGAACGACAAACGGTTGTCGCATTTAGACTGTTAGTCTCGGCATGGGGGAAACTACTCGATGAATCAACCGCAGTTCATCATTTGTAATCATTACGGTATGGTTTAGAATTCTCCGTCGTTGAAAAGGCAATAACCTGAACATGCTTTCTACCGGAATGTCCCCTGTTCTCTTATCAATGGGTCAAAATTTGATTTGTCATATGCACTATTTTAAAACCTATTTCGTTGTCAATCGTGAACCTTTATCATTTTGATGACTACCTTAATGTTGTGATGTTGCACCGAAACAATTATCCCCTTGTGTTGGATATAAGCACACCTTATGAACAGGTCAAAATGAAGAAATTTTTACCTGTATCATTTAAGAGCGAATCTCGCCATAAATTGTATATACTTATCATTTTCATGTTTATGTTCATGTTGTGATGTTGCACTGATCAATTTTCTGTATGTATTGGACTTTAGCACAACGATAGAAAATAATTATGAGGCTAAGCACGCGGCAATTTTTGTCAGTCGGCTGAGCTATTTTTGGACAAACATAAAGCAATACCGGATAGTTTATACTTATTGCTAGAAAGTTAGCAACACGCCAGAGACGGGGGCGCTTTCAAGTGGATTTCTTTCTCGAATTATTTGCAAACAGGACAACCCGGTTTTTTTTAATTAAAAGAAACAAACTACATTTAATTAATTGTGCGATCTAGAAAATCCACTGAGGAAACGCAAGTAATTTGAACTAAATGACGTATGGGACACAATTATTCCAAGCCGTGTGGGTATATTGTACTAACCGCGATCTGTTTCAAAATAGATATCTCGAGGTTTAGCAGGTGTGTGTATTGGTGTTTCAGACGTTCTCAGCTCGTTGCAATACACAGCTGTCTGTTCCCTCCTTGTTGATCGTAAATACATAAATAAACTTTTTTACGAACAGGACATTCTAACTCCAGGATCTGCTAAAGGAGTCGTCATCACGGATCAACCACTGTGAAATCTCACAGAGAAAATTTTCTACCGACGATTAATATTCTACCGTTATTGAAGCGAAAGTTACGTTATATTGTTTGAGTAAAGAAAAAAGCGATTCATCGGAACAGGAAATTAAGTCACTGTCCCATTTCAGTCGCCCACACAAGAAACTATTCAGATGCTCCCACAAACACCGCCGCTCACGAAAAACAATAATGTATGATACGTCAAGAATACACCCAAGAGAGTGTATCGTGTTTTTTGTTGTTGTTGTTGTTTAACTAAAACAAGCAAACATTTTGGATCTCACAAACGAAAGTCAGATGTCTGTTGAGACAAATGAAGCTTGAATTCGCAGAACGTAAGAGTTCGTAACAAGGAAATTATATCGGCGTAAATCAGCGAGTAAAAATATATTAGTACCTAGGACGACTAACACTTGCGGAAGTGAAGCACACGGGATCATTGTACGTTTTAAAAACCAGAATTTGTATTCCAAAATATGCCTCAGCGTTCCAAAATCCAAGAGAGAGAGCTCTCTAACGGTATGTCCTCGCTGATAGGTAATGCTTTTAATAAAAGGAACAGCAAGGAAACTTTCGAGGAAATCAAGATTGACGCTTAATCACTCCTCACTAAATCAATACATTTTTTGCACGCGTCTATGGAGGGGAGGCAAACTAACAAAGGGATACTCTTTGTCTGAATCGCGCTGAAATGCTTGGTGTTATTAGGAGACTTGACAAGGCATGTTGTGAGTAATAGTTGACATAAACATGTTTAAATATTTAATTAGGAGCTTCAGCTCCAAAACAAGCCGTTGCGAATTCACACCATATTTTGATTGACATGTGGCGAACCACGTTATTTTTGAGGAAATGTTTTCCCCTTTCTTCTCCCTCTCATCTCAAAATTTTAGTATTTTTCCTAAACAGTGCAAAGCAACACGAATGGTGGGTTGTGCAATGATCTAAAGTCGTGCAATTTACACGCACGATCCCGCCGATGCGCGAGCATCAATAATTCGGCGTAAACAAACGATCGAGACTTAACGCTTCGCTGATTTTACTGTGGGCACGTCCTTTAGCGCACACGCTGCTCTTAATACGCGAGAAACCCAATTTGCGAAGCAGTAAAAGAACTGTAAACAAATTTTTCTACTCACCAGCGCATGAAGATGAAATCCTTCGCTGACTGTAGAGCGTGTACCTCTTGCAGTATGGACTGCAACTTCGTAATCATATGTACATGTGCTTTGCGCTACAAACGAGAGCCTCTGTCCTAACACTGCTGCAGCTCCTGCATGGTGAATCGTTAAAACAATCTCCAATATTATCGGAAAACAACGAAGCCAGTGCATGACTCCAGCTGCACTGAGACCTAAGTGCTTACTGAAATTCTGAAACGGGGGGTCTGGAATTCATTTGACTCCACCAAGTAAAGCCATGACGCAATTTAAAACCTTACACAATAAAACTATAAACAAAGATTATGACACAATAGCAACAATATTTATTGACCACAAATTCATCCGACACGTTTTACGTCAACCACTTTCGTGCAGGTAAACAGCAAAATCTTAGTGAACCCAACTCTATCGAGAGTGGTCGAATAGACTTGAGACTTTGTTCCTAAAACAATTTTATCTGAAACCGTGCGGTGGTAACGTTTCGAGCAACGGCTAACCACATCGTTACAGAGTTGCGTTACACGGGTTTATTTCGGGATCTTCAACTTTCACCTTTCATTTAAAACGATAAAATTTCGTTTAATAGTTAAATTCGTAGAGAAAAGATGCGGATCACCGAATTTTTGGCTATCGTTTGGGTGCTGCTGGTTCTGGCGAGAGACACCGATTCGTGGCGGCGGCGACGACGGCGACGTTCTCCTCCTCCTTGCAGTGCACGACCATGTCAGGTTAGCTCTTGGAGTTCATGGAGTGCTTGCAGCCAACCCTGCGGAACAAGCGGAACTCAAAAAAGAACAAGAAGAAAAACTGTTGTTCAAGCATGCGGGGGATCTTGCCCGTACAGTTTAGATCAAGTACGAGCGTGCAACAGAGATCAATGTAAGAACGGAGGAACCCCTTTTAGTAATGGATGTCGGTGTCGCCCTGGATATCGGGGAACGTGTTGCGAAGGAGGTAGGTGGATCCATGCACGAGTGAACGCGAAAGTAAACACCCTCGTGAGCGAAAGCTGGAAATCGACATCCGTTGACATGATTATGCAAAGCTGACGATTTCAAACAGAGCCCTTCATTTAAATTTTTTTTATTTCTTTTTAGCAATGTGAAGTAAGCAAATGAAAAATTTCCAGTTTTTTTTTATCGCTCCGCGCGTTCGCATTTAGCAACTGTTCCAAATGGATTAATAATGAGTGTGGGATGTTTACTCTCCAGGTATTTCAACGCCTCTGTAAATGTGATAAAATTTAACGCTCTTCAAGCGCCTACTTCAGACATGGAAAAGGGAGCTTTGATTTTAAATGATTCTTAACTTGTACGCTTCAATTAATGCTAAGTGCAGAATAGTGTATATGGGCATGATTTCGAATACGGGCGCAGCATCCGCCATCGATGACAGTTTGATAAACGATGAAATATCGCACATGCGTGACAGCAACTGTTTGAGAGCGTGGCAGCGGTGCGTTCTGGACATGTAAAAGCGTGGGATGAATTCCTTCCCTAAAAAATCGGTTTCCACGTTTTGATGCGTCTTGAAACAATTAGCGCTCTATCAATTGAAATTAAAGTGGAATTAAATAAGATTTTTTAACTTGAAATTGTACTTAAACCAGTAAAAAAACTGAAAAGAGTAATTGAGTGAAAAGACTCAAATACTGATCATTTAACGAGTTAGGGCCTATCCGCACTAGCAGACGAAACTAGAATTGTCCCGACAAAATCGAAAGACAAATTTAGTCATAACAATTTTTTTTCTCCTCTGTTGCATTCGCGCTAAAAATGTCGAAGTTGTCAAAGAACTGTCAAAGTCGGTTAACAGCCAAAACAACACCGATATCATATTCCATTGTAATTTATTCAATTTAGCTGTGCGCACCAAAACATCAAACGTTTTGGCGGGATAATGGAACATGTTCAAATGCTTCAACTTGTGGCGTGTATCTTGCTTTTAAATTTCGCTCAGATCGAAATGATGTTCATGGTGAGCCTAGTGTTCAGGTCATTAAGGCATCAATTTCTTGGACACCAAGCAACTCTTTTAATGATTGAACACCGTAGAAGACGGAGACGCCGGGCACGTCGACACAACCCGTACTCTTGGAAACCGGTCTTGGTTTTAGATCCACCACAATGACCGAACAATTCCCAGGGAGTTTATCAGAAGGAAACTGTGAATGGATCGTTGTACCTTCGAAACTCTGCTAAATGTTTTGCGACCCGCTGTAACACGCGAAAACACAAAATTGCCTGACTGCATTGCCCCAGAAAAAGTACTCGCACGTTGTTTTTATCGTCTGGCGCACGAGAACTCTCAATTTCAAAGTTGGAAGATCGACTGTTCTAGAGGCAGTTCAAGATGTTGAATTGAACCTAGTTCGATTACCACACTAATGGTGGGGTTTACGACAAATGATAGACAAGTTTATCACGGTTTTGTTTGTTTAGTAAATCTCGCCAAGCTTTTACCCGGAACAAATTTTGTCAGCGGTGCGTTTGAAAATTTGTCCGCTTCGGCGAAAAATTATCAAGTCGTGACAAGCCATCCGCACTTGTAAAGTGTTGGTGATGACAGAAAATTTGTCTAAATAAACAATTTTGTCGCTAGTGCTAGTAGGTTAGTTTACTTATTGCTCAAGAAAGACAAGTGCTTCATTGGCCATTTTGTATGTCGATTGTAGCCAGTGCTGAATCTGCTTTATATATTACGCAATTTAAAAGTTCAGAGTTTTCTCGCCTTTGTTGTGACAATCCTCCGAGTCTTTCTGTGGAAAGGGTAAAGGTCAAACAATTATTCGATAGCCCACATGCAAATTGTTTGCTGTATGCGTCATTCTTGCACGCGTCTCTTAGTCCTGGAAAAAAACAACAGCAATTTAGTCACCTCTTTACTTTCAATTCGACACTCCAATCACATGTAGGCAATAGTGAAAATGTCATGCCGTCAAAAACGGTTAACGCATCGAGCTATCGGCGAAAATCTTATGGGAAGATAACTTACGGTTTTTTCTGCAACTTTTCACCACATCACTGTAGTGTTATCTTAAACTCCCTTACATCTAACTCAGTAGCTTACTTACAGGTTTTCTACTCTTCATGTCCTATTTCTTCTTCCAACAGACGTCAATGAGTGTAATAACAGACCATGCCAGCATACTTGTACCAACACGTTCGGTAGTTTTACATGCAGTTGCCATTCGTGCTACACCAAAGTGGGTTTAAAATGTGACCTGAGGCAGTGCAAAATCAACAACCAGTGCTACGCGTATGGCAGAGTAAACCCAAGTAACCAGTGTCAGGTGAGATTTCAATTCGCTTTCAATCATGTGCGAGAGAGGTGAGAGAGTACCGTTTTACTGGAATAAGGGCCGCGGCGCTTTTTAATTTTTCACGCCTCAATTGAAGCACTTATTAAAAGTGGCCGCGACAAAGAAATATCCTCTTTCAATTCAGCGGCATATTCTTATGCGCACGAAAATTTTTTGGTAACTAATTGCATACACTGGGGTTTTTACACTCAACTTCGATCTCGAGCCTAAATGTTACAGCGTGGGAGCATACGGCACTTCTACGTCTGAGTCTATGCTTTCTTAAGGGCTTCCGTCAAGATATCCAATTGCGAAGTACTACAACGAGTGAAATAAGTCTTTGAATTAACGCTGCACCGAGACCGCGGCGCTTATGAACCTTGCTGTCCTAAATGCGACGCTCATTCGAGAGAGGCTTATTCGGGGGCGGCGGCTGTTTGAGTTGATACGGCATTTCAACAACTTAGATATGGAATAAGGTAGACCTTGCTGAAAAAATTCTTTTGGAGAAAAAACAAAAACTAAAACTAAATAGAGAAAAAAACCACAGGGATAGTATTACCGCAATTAGGTGTATAGTGATGCACGGAAATATTATTTAGTTATTAACGTTTGTTGTGTATTGTCCTCTCTTCCAATAGAATTGCAATAGTGCAAACAAGTATGCCTGGACAAACAACAACAATTTGCCGTGTAACGACCGAAAGGCATGCACTAAAAATGATCGCTGTTCTAATGGGGTTTGCTCCGGCACGCCTTTCTCGTGCCTCCCGTGCGAGGAGTGCTACAATGACGCTTGCCGCGTGAAACCGGGATACTGCGTGATCAATGAGGGTGGAAGACGACAGTGTTTTCGTCACGGAGCCTTACGACCAGGACATCAATGCCAGGTAAAATATTTAGCAGCCATGGAATTATTGGGAAGATTAACTTAGAATTGCACGGAGAAATAGCATTTTAACCCTTTGAATCCTAAATACATCAGTATCCATATTATCCATACCGTTCTAAGTACATTTCTTAAGATGCTGATGAGGAGAATTTGTTCAACAATCAAGAACTTCTTAATATGGTGCTCATTTCCTCCACTCTCATGACCTTAATGTCCTATTCAGTAGTGATATTGGATGTTGGATGTTAGTCAAAGGGTTGAGCTCTTTCGGCTTGATGGACAGAGTCAATCATATATCAGGTGCCCAAATCAAATGAATGACCTTATATGATACATTTAAGAGGACAACGAGAAGCTATCAGAGAATGACCAATCCATCGCTCAAAGAAGCACCTAGAGCTGATTTGAGTTTTACGCGGAAATTTTAACGAAATGGAACTTTTCAAAAGCTATTTCACAAAAACGAAAATTGAAATAAACTGGAAAGCACTCGAGATCATTAACTTGAATAGTCAAGACATTGGATATTTTATCCACACAAAAGATAGGCTTATAATTAACAATTTTTCACCAAAGTGGAGGTGAATGGTGCACCACTTTCACCAACACTGAGCTGAATAATTATTTTGCTATATGCCAGACAGACACCAAAAAATGAGTTTATTTCTCTCAATATACCGAAAAATGCTCGGAAGTTAAACTCTTCAAGTGCGTTTTTGTCTCATCGGCTACTTGGAGGTGAATAGCAGTAGCTACTCACTTCCGAACTAGCCACTCAATGCGCGCGAAAAGCACTATTTACCTGTGTAAAACAATTCATACACTATTTCGTGAACGTTGCAGTTGATAGGATTTTTATGAATTTCAAAATGGTGAATAGATGAGTTTTGCATCAATCACACTCTTCTCTCCTCAGCAATGTGACAGCAACAATAATAATCGGTGGACTAACAACAACAACCTTAGGTGCAGCGACAACAACTTGAAGACCAAAAACGACCGCTGTTCAAGTGGCACGTGCGTCGGCACGCCCTACAACTGTCTCTCATGTGAAACACATGACGGCAATGGCTGTCCAATCAAATCTGGATATTGCATAATACTGCAAGGAGGCAAAAGGACATGTTATGCCAAGAATCACTATAAGCCAGGGAATCCTTGTCAAGTAAGCCACCGTTCGAACTAATATAATAGCTTGGTTCTTTGTTGTCAACTATCCTCAATGAAATGTTTAATAGCGCTTTCTGAGGGCAATGGATGTTTCTATACAAACACCAATGACCGAAAATTACGCCACTAAAAAATCAAAAGAAAAAAAGATATAATAATTAATTTAGGAAAACGTGGAAAGTCTTAGCTTATTACGAAAATATTTGTCTTGTTGCTGTTTCCTTTCAGTGGTGTAACCCTGGCAGTAGTATCAGCACTTGGTCTAATCGAGACGGCGTGGCATGTGATGACGGGAACGCATGTACACGTGCAGATACGTGTCGCAGCGGCCAGTGCACAGCTACACCTTTCAAATGCAACTCGGTTTGCCAGTACTGTAATGGCAACAGTTGCAGTCTGAAAACTGGGTTTGGTTTTTTGAACAGCAAGTGTACTTGTAAGATAGCAGGTGGGTAAGAACATTCTACGCCATACTCGTTCTCTCGCAATACTTGAAACAAAATTAAGGGTGTGTCTATCCAAACTGGAATTTACGCGCCGAAGAAGACTAGGCAACGTTTTAAGCCTTTTTTGTCCATTCAATCTCGCAGTTCTCGTTGTTTTTACTCATTGCTTTAAAGGAGTTATATCACGAAGCTTATTTTTGTAGGCACAGGTATTTAAGTTAATTGGTTTATTTTGTGATAACCTTTTATCGTCCTGTAGGCCGGGACTACAGCCACCAAGCAGTAAATCCATCTAATCAGTGTCAGTGGTGTGACTTGCACGATACAGCCGCTCGTACCAACAGAGCCTGGAGCAATCGTCCAGCGGTGCCTTGTAACGATGGAAACAAATGTACAAAACAAGACACGTGTAACGCTGGCAGGTGAGTATCACCCCGTATTGCTTAGCTGCGGAAAAAAAGACGATATGATCCCTTGAATATATACGAGTTCTTGGCATATAACTTTCAGAGAGGAAACTCCGAAGTTGAAAAGTCTTTAGTTTGAAAAATTCCCTACAAATTATATGACCTATTTCAACTACTTGGAGAGGGAGGGAAGGTAGGGAGGGGAGTTAGGCAGAAGCCTCCATGAGGGTGGTCCTCCGTCACTATGCTTCCCGTATTTGGTCATATCGTGTTCATTTTACACTTTTTCTTGACAAAGAGGGGGTTGGTATGTTGTGTCCCCTCTCTCCCGTTCGCTACGCCTTTAAAAAATTTATTGTTTTGTTGATTTAACATCAGTGAAAATAAACAGTGAGTGCCAGACAAGCACTGATAAGCCTCTCAATTACATGTGCTTTGCCTCTGTATTTTTCTAGATGCATAGGACAAGGTTACTCTTGCCAAGCATCTTATCCTGCCACAAGCTGTATCCAAACCTCTCAGTGTGTTGGTAACGGATCTTGCCGCGCGATCATGAGGCCAAGTAGAACAATCTGCCGCCCGGCTGCGGACGCCTGCGATCGCCCTGAGAGGTGAGAGATAACACAAGATTCTGTTGGTGGTCACTTCTAAGCTGTTATGGCTGTAAAGTTACGTTAAGGAAAAACTCTTCGAAGGATGAGGATGATTCGTATTATTAAAACATCTTAAAACTACATCTAAGTTGTACTTATTTGTGAAATCATTATTCGCAGGTGTGACGGACGCCTTGGAACATGCCCTGGTGGCGTAACAGACAGCATTACCCTGACTACTGGCAATGTACAGCTTCAGGACCATGCATTTAAGACAATCATCACCTTTCAGCACTCTACAGATAAGCTTTACCTTAAGATGTCCGGTTTCTCCGTTTTATGTGGCCAATTGACACTTAGGTGGTTCCTTCTACCAGCATCCTCCGCTTGCAATACCTTGTTCGGCGTAAAAGGAACGTTTTCGAATGGCAACTCTCAACAAACTCTGACTGGACTAAGTCTTCAAGATAACAGCAAATACAAAGTTAAAATACAAGCTTCTGATATAAGAAACAGCAATGCGCCACCGATCTGCAGTGGCGAGATCACAATTGACACATCAAAACCACAAGGCGGGTGGATCCGCGATGGGGCTGGAGCTGACTTGAGCTACCAGGCCACTAAACTCTTGCAAGTAAACTGGGGAGGAGTTCAAACCAGACATGGTGTTGCCAAGTATGAATGGAAAGTTCTCTCAACTTCGTTTAGCGGTAAACAAACAACAGAGCTCATGGGTTTTACTAGCGTAAATCTAAATACTAACGCAGGTAAGACCTTCAATGGCGTCACAGACGGATCAACTGTGACATTCGTAGTTCGCGCTTTCACAAAAGCCGGTTTGTTTTCTGACCTCACCAGCGATGGAGTGATTGTTGATACTTCCCCTCCTGCAGCTGGCAAGATCTACGATGGCAATCAACTTGGTGTAGATCTCAAGTACGCCAAATGGACGACTACGTTCGGCGCGAACTGGGATCGTTTTACCGACCCACATTCACCTATCTCACGATATACCTGGGCAATACAGAGACTAGGGGCTGGTTTAATCACTTCCTTTAAGACGACAGCTTTACACCGCTCTCCCACTTTGATCAACCTCAATCTTGTTTCTAAAGAAAGCTACTGTGCGGTTGTCAGAGGTTACAACGAGGCTGGTCTGTTTACTCAAGTCAAATCAGACTGCGTACTAATAGACCATGATGCTCCACAAGCTGGAGTTGTAAATGACGGACATTTTACTGATATTGACTACCAATCCGACAATACCTGGATGGCAGCAAACTGGAATGGTTTCTCAGATGGGAACAAAGGAAGCGGAATCGTAGAGTACAAATACAGAGTGACAGATAGCAGTGGACGCATTGTTGTTTCTTGGACGTCGACAGGAAATGCAACTAACATCACACATACCGGACTGACGTTGGGAAACAATGCGAAGTATTTCGTGACTGTCAGAGCAATCGACGCAGTTGGTCTCACTACTGACGTCACTACAGATGGCGTTACGGTGGACACAACTCATCCTGTGTTCACTGGTACAGTTAGAGTGACTGGTGAGGATGACTTCCTAAATGGAACTGCGTGCGTCTACGTGCCAAGTGTCTCGTCATTATCAGTTAATTGGGCTGGATTCTCTGATGCTCACAGCGGTCTGAGGCGTTACGACAGGGCTGTTATGCCCTTGGGTACGTCACCATCAAACTCCGACTTCAAAACCATGCCAGGATCTCATCTACGAACATCTGCAACGTTTAAAAATCTGGCACTAACCCAAGGAAAAGCGTATCAAGTCATCATCAGAGCATACAATGGTGCTAAACTGCATAAAGATGCCCCTTCAGTCATTATCATACCCGATGCCACACCTCCGTCCCAAGGAAATGTGTACGACGGAGCAACATCAGGAGTAGATATCGACTATCAGGCAGACGTGAAGCATGTTTATGGTTCCTGGACAAAATTTCCAGAACCTCACACTGGAGTTAAGCAGTACTATTTTGCCGTCGGTAGCTGTATCCCTGGTAACTATCATGTAACGGGAAATACGTTTCTCAAAGTTAACCCTCCACAAGCCACTACCTTTATACTGACAAATATCACACTAGTTAATGGTCAACAGTACTGTATCAAAATCAAAGCTGAAAACAGAGCTGGATTAATTAGCTCAGAAGTGTCTACAGATGGCTTCGTTGTTGATGTGACTCCCCCAAGCTTACAAAATGCTCAAGTGCGTGATGGAAGTTCAGGTTCAGACATCGACTATCAGGATAATACCACGGCGTTGTCAGCAGAATGGAATGGTTTTGCCGACCCTGAGTCTGGAATCCAGTATTATGAGTATGGAATTAGCAGAAATCGTGGAGGAGCTGTTGATGTATCTCCGTTTCAAAATGCAGGGTTGAATACCTCATCTACCGTTAACGGTCTTTCCCTAGCTGACGATGTATATTACTTTACTGTTTGCGCTGTGAACTTTGCTGGACTGCGCGACTGTATGAGCTCTGACGGAGTGCTGATCGATTTTAGCCCTCCAAACCATGGTGTGGTGCACGATGGAGTCATTGAACCAGATCTTCAGTATCAATCTTCTCTATCAGATATGGCTGCAAACTGGGAAGGAGTCTGGGACTTGGAAAGCGGAATTGAAAAATTTGAGTGGAGTATTGGTACAAGTGTGAGTGACAAAACCAGTGTTCAAGACTACAGGGATGTTGGTCTTTCGACACACGTCCGAAGTCAAGGAGTCCTTACTTTACAGAGTGGAACAAAATACTATGTGCATTTAAAAGTGACAAATCAGGCTGGCGCTGTCAGGGAATTGGTTTCGGATGGTGTCATTGCAGATGCCACTCCACCAGTACCGAGTATAATTCTTCCAGGCTTCCGATCACAGACTGAGTGGAGACATAACGAACAAGAAAACACTTTTTACACGGCTTCTGAATCTGACATCGCAGTTTACTGGAAGAGCTTCTCCGAGCCCGAAAGTGAACTTTGGTACTACAAGTGGGCCATAGGTATAAGTAGATGTGGAACTCAAGTTCAACCATTCATTAACATTGGACGGTCCAACTTCGCCAACACTACGATGACGAATCTAATCTTTACGCCCGGAATAAAATACTACGTCACTGTAACGTCTCGAAACCGAGCTGGTCTCGTCTCGCGATCATGCTCGGATGCAATGGTCTTTGATGGCACACCACCGAATCCGGGAGAAGTTAAAGTTGGACAGTCATCTGGTCAAAATGGGAGGAAAACGTTTGTCAGCAACAGCAGCATCGTCGTTTCGTGGTACGAGTTTAAAGACATGGAAAGTGGCATTAAAAACTGCAACATCTCCGTTAGGGACAAAGCCGAACAACTTCTCTTTCTTGAGAAGAGCAACGCATCCTCGGGTAATATTTCGCTGTCTTTGAGTGCTCTTCATCACGGTGAAAGTTATAATGTCAGTGTAGTTTGCATAAACAATGCAGGGCTCGTTGCTTTTTCAACCGTTGAATTTGCCATAGATAACACGCCACCTTTTCAGACAGGTCCCATTATAGCCGGGGTATCACGCAATCGGTCATTCCAATATCAGTCAGACACAGAATCCATTGTAGCCACATGGTCTCCGTTTGCCGAATATGAGAGTGCTGTCCGGAATTATCGTTTTGCCGTCGGTACTCGGCCTTACCAAGACGATATCGTCAGCTTTGAGAACGTGCGCCTGGCAACGCAGGTAACCAAGAACGACCTCAGCCTTTCCCATGCAAACGTCTATTACATGACAGTTATAGCAACGAACCAAGCGGGTTTAAGTAGTGAGGTGTCGTCGCTTGGACTCGTTATAGACACAACTCCTCCATTAGCTGTTGACAGTGATATCCACGATGGCGCAAGTGGGGATGACATCGATTACTTCTCTCCAGACATGGCCATCGAAGCACGCTGGGAAGACATAAGAGATCCAGAAAGTGGCATTGTGGACAGCAAGTACTGTTTAGGGACCAAGCCTCGAGGCTGTCAGATAAAAGGAATGACAAGTGTTGGAGCCAACTTGTCATTCACCTGTCCGACCTGTCATGCTAATGCGGGGGAGAGAGTGTATGTAACGGTACATGTGACCAACGGAGCTGGTATTTCTGTGACACGCAGCTCTGATGGAATGCTTTTGGATGTAAGTCCGCCGCTTATGGGTGATGTCATTGACGGAAACGATTTAACAGGAGTAGACTATAATGTCGTTCTCGAGGACTGGAACGTTTCTATGTCTTGGTTTGGCGTTGAAGATGGCGAAAGTGGGGTGCGATCATGCATATGGATAATCGAAGGCGAAGCTGGGAGCAAACTCCATCAAGTTGACATTACCAATGGCTCAACTTATGGAAAAAGGAAAGCCTTTTCGAATTCTCAGACGTACGCAGATCTTCACTTCATCAAAAACGTAACGTATCATAATGTACTGACATGTTGGAATAACGCGGGTATGCAGAATACTGTTCGATCCAATGGCTTTCGAGTAGAATATCTGTGGCCCATTCCAACACAGGTCAGCGATGGATCAGCGGAAGGTACAGACCTCGACTATCTAACTAGCACAAAGAGAGTTGGTGCTAATTGGGATCCTTTCATGGACGATATTGTGGATCCAGTTGTTGATTATGAGTGGGGCATAGGAACCGCTCCTGGTAGAGATGACATTTCGCGTTTCACTAGCATTGGGCTGAGCGCAAATGTTGAGAAAGACTTGAAACCCAACGCACCAGGCCTCGATGTTTTAAACTCAGGTCAAAAGTATTACAATACCATAAAAGCCATCACTGCCAGAGGACTTAGCAGTGTAAGCTCGTCCAATGGCTTCACCGTAGACCCCACTCCACCCATGATAACAGAGGTCACCATACATCACATAGTCAAGGACCAAGAACAAAAAAGCGTTGAGATAGATGTTTCCTGGAATAAGACTAAAGATGATGAAAGCGGTATAAAAAGCAGTGCGTTCTGTTTGGGAACAACACCCCTCACTTGTGTGGCGGAAACAATACCTGCAGGTTTGTCTACTTCAGGTATCATTGGCCCATTTATGCCTCAAATCCGTGCAGGATATTATGTGACTGTGTTTGTTGTAAACAGAGCCGGTTTAACAACTGTTATGTCGTCAGAAAAACTGATATTTGATATGAAACCACCTTCTTTGGGCGTTGTAATAGACGGCATTGGCCAGGATATCGACTTCACAAATTCAACTAGTACCTTGACAATCCAGTGGAAAGGTTTTAAGGATGAAGAATCCGGTATTTCTGGGTGTTCTTGGGCACTGATCGAGCAAACGGCATCAGATAACAGTTCCTCTTTTGGAAATGACACAGTTGTCCTTCGAAAAGCCGTGGACAGCAGTGGGAACTTCACTGAAGGAAATCTTAGTCTTGTTCCCGGCGCTCGCTACATCAGTCAAGTAACCTGTACAAATGGTGATGGCTTTAGCAGCACTTCGTCTTCTGATGGTGTTATTGTTGACCTTACTCCACCCAATTCTGGTCTGGTTCACGACGGATCATCTCTCCATTTTGATATTCAGTTTCAATTCTCAACAACGACAGTCGCGGCAATATGGGAACCATTCCGCGACCACGAGAGTGGCATAGTAAGTTACCGCTGGGGCCTTGGAACCACTCCTGACAGTGTTGACGTCATAGATTTTAAGGATGTCGGCATGATTACTTCAGCGATGGCGGAAAACCTTACCCTCACACATGGGGAAAGGTACTACATTACAGTGGAGGCCACGAATGGTGCTGGAATGACGTCACATGGATGGTCTGACGGCTTTATCGTTGACACGTCAACACCCAAGTTGACAGAGGTATGATTGATTTGATTAATTGTGAGTGAAATAATGGGACAAGATAGGCCCTGGCATGGTTGTTGTGACTGGATGATGACCTTGTTCGTGACCTGCAAAAATAGTAAAGTGTAAAGCTTTGTCGATTAATTCATAGATCTCTCTTATCTCCTCCCTCGCTTAGCAATTGCTTGGTTATTCTAGTAGTTACTGAACAATGGCGAGACAGATATCCCACATTCAAACTCGTATTGTCTTATCTTAGTTTCGAAACTGCATCTCATTCCATCCTCTACACCAGACTGAGCTAACTTATCGTCTAAAATAAACCATTTCGGAGTTCCGAAACCTTCACTTTCAATATGAGGCTAAGTGCATGATCTCTTTGCATGATATTAAAATAATTGCTCCGCACTAATAGCTGCGCACTCAACCTCGTTTTAAAACAGAGGCTTTGTACCTTTCGGAATGACCCGTCCACGAAGGTCTCACTTAATAATCTCTTTTACTCTCTTTAGGTTTCGCGAGGTTCCCTCTTGTGGCTTGGACCCGGAGGAGAACTGAAGGCATCTTGGAAATCACTAGATTCCGAGAGTGGCATATCCAAGACTGAATTCTGCGTAGGAACAGTATCCAATGGCTGCCAAGTTAAATCTATGACCAAAATAACCAACAATGAAACAAAACTAACCTGCAATTACTGTGACTTAAGACACCAAGAAACATATTACATCACCATACGAGTTCAGAACGGCGCAGGGCTGTTTACATTGGCAACAACGGACGAAGTAAAGGTGGACTTCACTCCACCGTCTGTCGGTAAAGTGCTGCCGGCCACTGACGTCACATCATGTGTGACAAACTGCACCCTGGTCTCTAACCTCACCTTCTTCCAAGACGAGGAAAGTGGTGTAAAATTATGCAGTTACGCTATAAGAAACAGTACAAACTTGATTGGCGACTTTGTAAATAATGGTTTGAAAACGACCATAGCAGCGACAGGGCTCTCGTTAGTTGCAGGTGAAAGGTACCACACCATTGTGAGATGTGAAAACAATGTTGGACTTGTCACAGAAAGATCATCTACTACACCAGTCTTGGTTGATGACACTCCACCAACTAAGGTTAGCCAAATATCTTAGGGAACAAAACAGGCGGCCTGTATGTGGCAGTAAATTTAAGGAAATTATGTTGACACTTTCTAGTATGGATTGGGTGATTTGATTTCTAGTACTCATCGGGATTAGTAAACTCTAGTCTATGTTTTTGTAAAAACAACGAACTACAACGCTCTTCATCCGAAAAATAAAGAAGTGTTCTATCATTAGGTCGAATTAAGACGAACAACACCGTTTTGGATAAGAAAGTTAAAATTGTCTTTAAATTATGAAGAGAGGCGGTTTTCCATAGGAAGGCTTTGATTTTTCAAGCACCTTCTCCGCAAAACATGTTACCTTGTTCAGTTTGTTTGTTGTTTTTTTTTTTCTGATCAACCTATTGGTTTTTTTGTTTTTTCCTTGACAGGGTTCGGTAATAGTAAGCCCAGACCGCACGCATGACGTTTTTGGACTTCATTCCAGCTGCCACTTATTCAACCAAACACTGCGGGCTCACTGGTTTGGGTTTTACGACAAAGAATCAGGTTTGAGCGGATTTCGCGTTGCAGTCGGCAGTCATCCAAACGCAACAGACGTTCTTTCATTCCAAGACGTCGGTGTCACGACAAATGTCACGCTACCTCTTAATGACATTAACGCTTTGTTTGAAGGAAGCATTGTTTACGTGACAGTTGAATCACGCAATCCAGCAGGTCTAGTTACGCAGAGTACATCGCCTCCTACAAGGTTGATTTCGGCAAATAACGACGAGTATATGGCGCAAGGAGACTTTTTCTGTTATAATGTTTAAAATGAAGACATGATGAACTGATGGCTAGACTATTTAGAATGGTTATTTTACATTTTTTTTTCCTTGCTTTTTCATAGTCTAAAAACCCTGATCGCGTGTAAAGTTAAGTGAATTGATACAATGAGAGATACTGATCAATTAGATACCCAAATGTTAGGAATGAAAATAGTACTTGCACACGTGGAAGTGAAGAACACTGACATGTATAGTTGCGTAACGCCTGAAAGGCAAATCGCATTCGTCGTTCGCACATTGCAGCTGATTCACGCGTCATGTTGCGCGCTTTGTTTCGATTCAATTTTGTCTTGCAGAAAAAGTTATCTTCCTTGAAAAGCGAACGTAATCGAACAATTTCATCCGTGATACATGTGCCTTTCTTTGCTATACTGAGTCAAATTCCTTTTATATTGAAGAAAATTTGCAATTTACTTTTCACAGAAATGTCAAGTGGACATTAAAAAAGCAGCAAATGGACAAGTGTACATTAGAAAAAAAAAACTGAATAAAGCGACTACGAGTGAAAACTCTTACACTCACTGATAACCGATTGGTTAACCATTCGCGAAAATACTTTTGCCAAGCGTAGCTTTCGCAGAGAACAGCTTGAATTAGTGTGAAATCGAACTACCGTATATTCCTCATTGAATCTTTGCAGGATCCGTGCATGTACTCGCCTTTTAACACTTGAATGAACCCGTAAAATACTGACGTAACGCTATGACACTGAAGAACCAGCAAGATGCCTTAATTCCGCCTCATACCCCCGCGACCCTCTGTAAACGCGCTTACAGGCAGTGAGAATTTAAGCAATCGCGAGGTGGTTTATTTTTATTGCGCCTTTACTTCAAAATATCTTAATTGATAAATTATGTGAGAACCTGTGAAGAGACCTACAAGCCCTGTATCATTTCTTAATGACTAGATCTCTTACGCAGAGAGAAGAAATTCTACCGTCGCATAATTCCGGTTTAAGCATTTCGTTAACGGGCTCCAAGTGAGGGCAGTCGATAATTCGAATGCAGTGAAGCCTCGACGCACTTATGTCCAAATCGCGAAGATTTGAGCACGAGTCTATGGAAAGGTTCTCCACGCAAGATACATGTAAATTGAAACTCTTCATGCCAGAACAACGCAACAGGCTTAGTCCGCGAATAGTTTTGCACTTAAATCGCATATTTCGTTGCTTGTTCTTGTGCGCTAGGGAACAATTTTCAATGATCAAGTAATCCACATCAGTTGAATTAATAATAGCCAAACCTATGGTAAGACCAGTTAAGAACACCGTCCCCACTCTACGCGACGCATTGAGTTCCACAATCAGCGGTCTCTGCCACGGCTGTAGGCCCGTGACTTGAATCATATGAGCTTCGATACAGTGCACAGTGACACGATTGGCGCTTCCAATGTCAAAAATTTGAACCTTCTTGAGAGAGTTGGCCGATATCTCGATGTCGCAGCCGGCCACACTCTTACTGTTCTTTTGTTTTTCGGGGAATACGTCTCCAGAACATTTGAAGTATTCCAGGGTTGGACAATCCACTTTGAGCTTTGACAGACTCATACCCACATCACGAATTGTAAGCTGTATTAAGCTATTGCAGTGTTCTCTGTCAAGCTCAATAACGCTCCAGTCCACGGATACTTCCATTTGTCTTATGTTTGGGCATTCTGACAAGAAATCCTTAAAGGAATCTGGTTCAATTGCAGGACACTCGTACATCAGCAAGTCATGTAAACCCTTGCAATGGGCCTTCACTCTGGAAAGCTGACAGTTTCCTTGCAGAATAAAAGTCAAAATGTTTGTTGCGAGAATCTCAACAGAAGTCAAGTAATGGCATTCTGATATAAGTAAAACTTCCAAGTTAGGAAGCACACATTTTAGACTATCGATATTTCTACTTGGTAAGCCGGTTAAAAACAGCGTTGCAAGACTGCTCGATTTCAGAACTAAAGAATTTGAAGAGGTAGTGTTTGTTCCGTCTGCAAAAGCAACAAAAAGCTGCTTCAAGAACTTAAAATTCTCCAAATAACTCACTAAGTCGGAGACACCTATAGGTAGGTAGTGTAAATCAAGGCTAACAAGAGTAGGGGAGTGGCGAGAGTTCATCAAAGCCTTGATTGGTGGGAGCGACACACTTTCTTCGCTTGGAAGATCTTCCATACCATAAGGAGCGCATTCAAGGTGCAGTTCCTTCAGCTTGAGCTCATCCAGTATAGGAACAATTCCATGTCGACAGAGCTTAAAAATGTTTATATTCAGAGTCAATGATTCCAAAGATTTGAACTGACGCGCAAGGACTCTTAAATCCCACACTCGAATCCCACGCTTATGAATGCGTAAACGTCGATTGCCGAAGTGTGAACGTCTTTTAACAAGCGCCCTGTAGTCATCGATTGTTAAGAACTTGAACACAGGTGCACTTTTCAACGACTGCGCAAAGACTCTACTCCACGAGAGCACGGGAATGTCAAGTCTTGTCAAGTTTGGGAGTGAGGTGAGTAATCTCCTGACTTCAGTACGAGTGAAATACGTCTGATCTTCTGCTCTTATGCATTGAATAAAATGACCATATTTCTTAAAGCAGTGGCACAATATACTCGCATAGTCATCTTCAAATTCCTGACGGGCGTCTCGGTCGTCATGAAGGTGAATATGTCTCCACAGAAGTCCAGTGTTTTGAATGATGCGCTCCCACCTTCGACAAATTGTGCAATACCGTGGAAGGTCTTCGTAAATCGGATGAAGGTAAGATAATATCTGTGCGATAAGTTCACCTGGTAGGATATCCATGTAAGGGAAAAACAAAATGTAGCAACCCGATTGCTCTTTATGTGATCCAATGTCGATTGTTACGGGAAAAAGTCGTTGATAAGCTCGCGCGCACATGAATAACTGTCGCGCGCGTTTGTGTTCAACGTCACCATTTTCAAACTTCTCGCGCGCGCACAACTTTGGCCTAAGTGCGTACGAAAGAAAACGCGCCGATTGAAGAAATCCTTTCCTGGATATACCACACATGTCCCCTTAATAAAACTACAGGTTTATGAAAGAATCTAGATAAATGCGAGGGGGAAAACTTCATGCTGACTTCAAAAAAGTAAACGAAGGCCAAAGGGCGAGAAATGCAAAAGAAGAAAGAAAAAAGGAAACAGTGATTGAAATAGTCTGAAAACATTGTATTTGAAAAATCTTGAGTTTAGATTTTTTAGGTCATTAAGACTGCCTCAGGTAATTCATTGTGATTGACTGATAAATCAGATTATCTAGGAACTCCACATTTGCTATTCATTTAATGATTTTTATCGATCTATTCCTTTCAGTCTTATCTATTAATCATCTTGTCGCCTACGTTTTTGTGTTAGAGCTATTAATAACCAAACAAGTTAACCATGACAATCTCGGCTGTTTATTTCCTCAAGGACTTCTCAGTGGTTGGTTGAAGATCGTGTGCCCAAGACGTTAAAAATATTACACAGAAGCTTAGGACCAACGGGCTTTATAACATCTGTTCATAGATAGTTCATTTCACCATGTGGTCCTCTATGCATTAATAGAGATACTAACCTCACATTCAATCGGTTAACTGAATACCTAACATCTCTGGGTCTATATGCGAGGGAAAGTTTCACGATTGTCAACTTTTATCATCTCGTGAAATTAAGAACTGACTGAGATCAGAGTACTTCAAGCCAACGCATTATAAAAAACAACAACAACAAAACAATACTTGGGTGTAAAGGGGTATTTTTTCCAGTGTCTTTGGTGGAATTTGAAACTCTGTCCAAAAGTCATCTTTTTTTTCCGCTGGTTGGTATGCAGCTTACGTCATTCAAGTTTGACGTCCAATTTCAAACGCGGTTTCAACACAACTTGGCTGACGAGGTTTTGTCCAAGCCATTCTCGTTCAGGAACATTACCTGAACACTGTGCAGAAGGTACAATTCGCTCCAGTAACTACACCAGGACAACTCTTACTTTCTTTCAAAAGTAAATAACCCTCGTTTCTGCGTGCCTTGTCAAGCAAAAACAAATCGTAGCAGTAACATCTATCCATGCACGGTAATTTAGGCCTTCTTTCACAAACCGAGGCCGCAGCAAACCCGATAATTACACAATGAAGTCAGGGGTTCCACAACGCTTCTTTGGCATTTCGAATGGCCTTCTCCGCATCCTCATTGATCTTCTTACACTGGAGCATCACATCTGAAACACAAAAGATTCATAACAGCTTCAGAGCCGAAGACTTGCTTTGGAATTTTTTTTTTCCGGCAGTCTGACTGGACTTTAACAAACAGATGGCTTGTGTTAGATTTGTTACCTTTCACATATTTGTAAAAGGCATTCACGAATGGAATGCGCGTGTTGTACTGCTACACGAGTGAGTGGTAACGTATGAGTCGCTTAGTGCATGTCTCTGAACTAAAATCTTTTTTCACAAGAAAACGAAAACTGACATCTACATGTTTTAAAACCTTGAAACTCCTGCAAGTAGAGTGCTAAGGTTAAGATGGACACAGAGTCTGCACTTACATATTAGAATTCAGAGGCCAGTAGAAAACAACAGAAACGACAAAAACAACAAACACTTGTCAACAACAAAACTTACCACTAAATCCTTTTTCAGCTTCCTCCACACTCTTATCTTGCATTGAAGTATGCGGCAGAGAAAGCAGTTTATCTATTGGATTTGGCATCAGTTTTAAATCAGTAACAAGGTTAATCAGATTAACCTTCAAAACACAAATAAACAACCAAAAGACATTCAAAACAAGGTAAACTTCGATAAACAATAACACCAAAAAGAAAATCGAATTCTCATAGATAATGTAGAGACAAAAAAGGCAACAATTTGGTGACTGGATCATTTAATGAGTGGTATAATTTTTTTATGCATGTCGTACAGTACAAGCACATAACTCTTTGACTCACAAAAAACTGAATGGATGTGAAGTAAAGTTGTCACCTGTATTCCATGGTATTGTTTTGAGAGCAACTCCATGTTCTGTTTGCAAATCGTTATCTGCAAAATTAATATGAACAAGAATTCTGTGTGAGCCCAGATAAATAATGGTAATCATGAAAAAAAAGAAAAAAAAAATAGAAAAGAAGTTCAGTTGTTACTCCCAGACTAGAGAATGAGGCCAAAGACCAGAAAAAGTTTAAACACTACATATGAATTTAACCTAAAACTATAAAATGTTTTAAGATTTGAGGAAAGCTCATTCACTCATGTAACGGAATCTACAAACTATTTAAATAGCATTGCGATTAATTCATCCTTTCAGCGGGAAGTGTCATTCGTTTGTAGTTGAAGAAAAATGCAAGTTACCATCAGAAGCCAGGCATATTTAGACAAACAAGTACTTACAGGGTAACATGTTCATTATTTTACCTCTGAGAATTGCATCCAGTTCATCACACATCTCATACAGGTCTGCTCCTTTGCCACTAACACGTTCACCTTGAGGAACAAACCAACACAAATAGGAAATTAGGCAAGACTTTTTTATCATTCTTGGAAGCCAGGAGACTGGCATATTAAAATTTGCCTTAACAAGAAGAATTACAGTAAAATATAAAAGAAAGCGAACAATTGGATTTTAGCAGTAGCACCTCAATAGCCGATTCTTTCTTCTTTCTACTTCCCTTTGATAAAGAATGAAGTCACAGCATTGAAGAAGTAAGAGCTTAAATCAATTACCATCAAGAGTCCTGAGCTTTGGTAAAAGTTTACACACCACTTTCTTGTAGTTCTCTTGAGAGGCACAAACTGAAACAAATGAGGCAAACATAGTGATCAAATGTGGCATTCGTAGCCAAAACAAGCCATTTTTAAAGGGTGCAAAAATAGATTACAGAAAATTATGTTCCACCATGCCCATGTAACAATTATTAAAATTGAACTAAATTTGAGGGCACAGTTTTAGTTTTGGTTCAAATAAACCTGTAAAATGCACAATTTGAAATATTTGCTACCATCAGATTTACATGTGAAACACAGAAAAGTTTCAGGTGCTTTACAGCTAAGTACTTGTGCTGACAGGGGAACTCAATATAGATTTACTGTGAGAAATTTTACTATCAATCAATGTTATCATTTTCCCATTTCAAGAGGTGGACATATTGACTTGAGCAGTGACAGTAAACATAAATCTCAGTCATTTTTGGGGTTCATTTTTCTGAATTTTGATCAAACTCTGCCCTTACCAGGATTTGAAAATCCTTGTACTGAGTCATGAAGTCTAAGCACTCGCAAATGCTCCAGTTTGGTCAAACATGAAAGGCTGTTAACACTGCAAAGATGAAAAAAGTTATTAAAGTAACCTATAATCCAAAGAGGGACTTATGAATATCATACCCCCTGAAGAGTGTATGAAAGATAACTATTTACTTAACCTCAGAATTGAACATTCATGCATTCTAACTGCCTGAATATAACAAGTTCATCTGTACAACCAAACAGCAAAGGACTTCAATTCAAAATTCCAGCCGAATTGGACAGAGAAAACTCAACAGGGAAAGGACTCAGAGGTTAAAACAAAATATTAGAACCATAAATAAGGTCTACCAAGAAAATGACTTTGTTTTCTTAGAGATGTACATGTATGTAGTCTTCTGTTTTAACTGCCATTACCTGCCATACTTCATGTATACAGCTATCACTTAATATATGCAATCAAATTAGTTAAAAGAGTGGTTCAGATCAAATGAAAAGTTTCTTAACCCCTTCACTCCCAAGATCTTATTATTAATTCTCCTTACTATCTGCCATACAATTCTTATGATGTTAGTTCAGAGAATTTGGTAATTTTATCAACTACTGTAATAATCCTGTAATTGATATTCTTCTCTATTCTCATCACCTACCTGCTTGATATTGTGTGGGTATTGTAAGGAGAAATTTTGTCTTGGTCACTTGTGGGAGTGAAAGGGTTAAGATGTTTTTCAAAGTACCTCTCCTTCTTTGTAATAATGTTATAAGCTTCTGGAATGCTTATATACCGGTAGATGCAATGTAGTTTGACAAACACACAGCTATAGTGATGCAACTGGGTAAAATTAAAGTAATTGAACAGTGTATAAACTGTACAGTTGTAATTGAGTTGAAATTCTTAACCTTGTTATCATGTTGCCAGACAAATTCAAAGAAGATATATTTGAAAGTTCTTCAATTCCATCTGCAAACAATCAAAGGAAAAATTAAACTCAATCTACTTCGTGTGACTAATCACAAGATAGGCTGCAACTTAATTTGGATCAAATTAACAAAAATGCTTATCTAAAATATTGAACCATATATGGAAGCAGATGTGTAAATGAATAATTTGCACTGTGAATCATAATAACCAAAATCTTTCTTCAAAACCTGAAGGTTCTTAGGTTGATAATTTTTACATCAAACTTGAATCACACCAGTTTAAAATGGTTAATGTTTTCACAATTCTTATCAAATTATTCTAATACTTACCAAGGGAGGAGAGTTTGTTGCAAGAAACATTCAATGTCTCAAGGAGCTTTAGTTCACCTAAAGAGTAAAGTCAGATTTATATTACGTATCTGTGTATTGAATAATCATATGAAAAAAATACAGAAGGTTTACACATGTACCTGTTTTGTTTTAAATGTTTCATTACACATGTGCTTTCAAAATCACCTCTCAGAGGTAAATGTAGAAATATAATTGATCTTTTTTTTAATTCCATGTACATAAAAGATCAATGACTACATAAAATTTGCAACTTTGCTATTTTTGTCACTTTTGATGAAAACCACTTCCACACATTTAGTCAAACTTTCACCATGTGCTCCTTTATTTTGGTTGGTGCTATGATAACTTCTTTACTGACTGATTTTTACTTTAACTCTTTACACTCTGACATTGATATTCACATTCTCTTTACTGCTCTCTCCACATTTCCTTGAGTGCTGACAAGGAGAATAACTTTTACAATCAGGAGCTTCTCAAATTGGCTATCATTTCCAAATTATTCTTGTGACCATTACATGCACATTTGAATCAAGGGTGATATTGTGTGGAGAAGTTAGATGCCAATCACTCTTGGGAAATAAAAAGGGTAAAGATTGATAGTACTCACGATTAGATCTTTGAGTGATTTAGAATTGAAAATTAAAATATCTCATAAGAAACATTACATGCAATCACATAACATTAAGTCATGAAAAAGTCTTTTTTTTTAAATTTTTTCAAGGAATGCCACAAAAAATAGCTAGTAGTGTTACCCACTCAAATGACTCAGATCAGAGAGGCTGTTATCAGAAATGTCCAGATGCAGAAGTCCCATACAGTCACCAATACAGCTGATGTCCTGTAACCCTTGTTGGAATATAACAATCAGAATAAGTAATTTGAAATTAATTTTTCAAGAAATGTGCACATGAGTCACCTTCTTTGATCCTTCCTACAGCCTTCATAATTGATGCTGTAAGGCTAAGCTATAGTAACTCTTTTCAAATGTTTTGTGGGAGTCATTTTGTTATCTTAGGTGGCCATGGCTTGTAAAACAAGCTGGCAGCATTTGAGGGAAAGATTACCCGTTCTTCCTCAGATTGAACTCCTGTGCTGCAACCAAAACACTACACATGCATGAGCTACACCAGAAATATTTTCAATTTAATTATCAAGATGAACATACCCATTCCACTGAGATCCAGGAAACTGATGCTCTCCAGATCAAATTCACCAGTTCTGCTCTTCAGCAAATGGGAAGTTAAGACTGAAGACTTTGAGCCTGGAGTAAAGAAAAGGAAAAATTGACTCAGATGATTGTATAATTACCCTGAGACCAAACCCAACAAAGAGACCATGTGTTTGTTTTTGTTGGGTTTGTAACAGCTCGTTTCATGATATTACATTTATTGTTATCGCGGATAATCAATTTTTAATTTGAGCATTTTAAGTCCAAGACCTGAAGCCACGATCAAACGGTACTCGAGCAGCTCTTGGTCGTTGCCTTAACAGTGGTTTAGTTGTTGAAATTTTAGTTTGGTGGGTTACATAAGTTTACTGGCTAATATCACAAACCAGATCCACAGCTCTCCAGAAGGAAAAGAGAGGAAGATATCTGGCGAGGAATGTCTAGATTTAAAGCTTTGATCGCCGCTAGTGCTAGCTTTCCAAATTCATTTACAATAAACACTGTCCTGCGATGGCCGAATAAGACAGATGCGCGACATCATAAAGCTTCTGCGAACGCTTCTTGCCGATCTCAGGTTCTAAAAAGGCCATAGCATTACCTCCAGCCCTCGCCATGAGTTTACTCCCGAACCACTTATCTCAATTTTCTGCTTCACGACAACGAAAATTGTGATCAACTTTCACCTTCGGCGCCATGTTGCTACGGATGTCTCGTACCCATTCCTTACAACCGTTTTTTTCCGCTCAGTCTCCCTCGGTCAAATGCGTTTACAGTTGAACAAAGATCGATACCTTCGTTGCAGATGATGGCATAAGTGCAGACAAAGGTTCACCTAAGGATTGAACAGAAGCTAGGCGAAGATTTTTGCTCTTTGTCATTTAGAATAACGAGCGAGGATCTACGGGCCTCTGAGACCGTAGGAGTCCCCCCACATTTTCTCGCTCCCCCTCCCCCTCCCCCTTATTTATCGCTCGCTCCTTTCGTCAAATGGGCGCGACACCTTACAAAGAAAACCCTTTCGCCCCAATCCTTTCGTTAGTTTTGGCGAGATTTTGAAACAAAACAAGCAAGAAAAATACCAGAAAAGAGTTTTAGCTCGCGCAGTAGTTTATTTGGCATAATGATTATCTATGTTACTCTAGCCGGCGATGTAGCCTTTTAAAGTCTTGTTAACGCCGTTTGCTGAAGTAGTTTAGCCCCTGTAATCTTCATAAAATTAATGTCTTGTTGCATGTCTCAGCACCGGTCATAAAGCCAGAATACTGTTGGAAAGGACGCTAAAACATATTCCGTGAATAACAGCAAAAGTAAGTAAATAAATTGCAAATCCCTGAGTGAGGCCCCCAAATTTTGCAAAATAGAGAGACAGCTTGAGTGGTACAGCACAAAATTATATATGAAATCTAGCGATGCCCTCTGAACCAAAGATATTTTTCATTAAGTTAGCCTTTCCTTACTCTGGGTTCACATCAGCTTTTTCTTGCAATTACTTTAGTTTTAACGAGACAAGAAGCCCATTATCTCCTGACGAGACATAAAAATTCGAAAGCGCTCTAATAAACTAAGCCAAAATTTGCTTAACTATGCTCAAGAATTGACACAGGCTAAAACAAACAGGACAGAACTCATAGGTAGCACTGTACGATTTTATAAAAAACGGCCGAATATGTCTTCTTCACAGTTGTTGTTGCACTCTCGAATTTCCTCAGCCTGTCCTTCGCAAGGTTTCCCGCCAAAATTAGGCTCCGGTCGGGTGCAGTTACGAGCACGCTCTTGAATCCCTTTGCCACATTCTTCGCTGCAGGGAGTCCATTCACTCCAATCCGACCAACCTTCGTCAACTGTAATAAAAGAGAAAAGGTTCTCACTTTTGACTTCGCTTTTCATGATCAAGTTACCTAGATTTCTCGTATTCGGCTTTCGATCCTTCAAGGATTTAAATAACTGAGAAGCTATCTATCGCGAAATAGACAGCGACAAGAGAAAATAATGGGGTCATTATTTTCTCTTGATAGCAAGTTACGCAGCCAATCAGATTACGGCATTTGTAATAAAACGCAAAAATTGTGCTTGTTGTGAAGTTTTGGTCAGCGGTAAACAAAAATTTTCAAAGTAAAGCCGCCAGTAACAGTGCTCTTTTTCTCGTCGTCAATTGTTATATTTATTTCATATATTAACATTATTGTGGTACTACAGGTGATTTTTCTTACTGTGGCATGGCTGCTTGTCACCGCACTTCTTTTTTTCTCTCGCTAACCCCTGACATGATTTCCCGCCGTTTTGCGGCACCGGTTCGGAGCACTTCCGCGTTCGTGATTTGATCCCAACTTCACAGGTTTTCGAACAAGCTGTCCAGTTGCTCCAATTTGACCAACCTCCATCAACTAAAGAAGAAATAAGACGGTAGAATCACTAGGTCAGTCGTTACTTGAGTCAAGCAATCAGGCAGTTAGACAGTCATCGATAAGCACAACTGTAATTACCTCCAGTGCAGCACTTTCCACTATAGCCTGGTTTACAACGGCATTTACCAAAAACTGGAGTCCCGCCGTTGGGACATACATCGTTACATGACCGGATATCTGCGAGCAAGTACGAACACGACCCACCACATCGGGCTCCTTTAGTCACCCGGCGTGTGCGCCATTGTGTTCCCCCCTCACCACATGGCTGAGTACAGTTACTCCACTTGGACCAGGAACTTACAATACAGTCCCTTTTGCTGCAGCCCGAGCTGAACAGGCATCCATCTGCCTGAATTACCATCGACGCAAAGCAGAGCACAGCAAAGGATAAAAGTGACATTGGCATCATTTTCTCAAAGGCCTTCGTGAAAGTCTGTTGGCGAGAAAGGGTGCGGAAATTATCACCAACGCGATAGCATGGGTCTGAAATATACAGGTAAAAATAGTGGAAAGCTGATCTCAGTGCTAGTGAAAAACCCAAAAAGGTTTTCGAGACAGAGTTCTCAGTGACTGATAGAGAGAGAGGAAAGATGCTAGATTCCCTTTGGACAAAAGAGTCGGGAGTCTAGATCAACCAAAGATAAGCAGCCCTAGCCCTTAGCAAAAGTTGCGTTTGCATACTATCCTTTTAAGTAAAAGCCTCCTTCGATACAGTTGCGCATGTTTCGCATTGTTTTCGTCCCCATTCTCCACGCATGTTTCAGACAGATCTGAGTGAACAGTTGCATAAGAAACGGGCCTTAAAAGTACTTGAAATCAAAATAAATGAGAATAAAAACTTTGAACTTTGAGAGCTAAAAAAGTTTTAAATCACCGGATAGTAAACTTCAAAGTACGTGTCACTGATTTTTCACACGTTTTCTATGTAAAAAAATCAAATTTAATGTGCATCGTCACATTATTATGCTTACCTGAACTAGATTATTCCTTATATATTTCCAGGTTGTGACTCGTTTTTAGGAAATACGGTCTTACAAAAATTTTCAGTCTTTGCAGCACTTCTTGACCAAGATAAACTGAAATATGCGTGAACTGGCTCTACTTAATATAGATCGAATCAACCACTGAGGAAGAGGAAATAACATGAGTCGGGAAAACTTCCTTCAGCATTGATTCCTTCTCGACTGGGTCATTCAATGTTTTTATTTATCTCCTTACCGTTCTGAGGCCAGAATCAATTCCGAACATTGGAAGCGTTGGAACTTCGAGAGTTTTAATGATGATGCTAAGCTTCTTACGCTTCTGGAGTTCCCACTCACCTCGGATTTGAAAAGAGTGTTCACGTTACATCCTTCAAAACTTATAAGCCCGTTTAATTATAAAATTTTGACGACCCTTGAACCCCGCAGAAGATGCAAACTTCATTAAATGAAAAAAAGTCTGCACTGAAATTATCTGATAGAGTTGGGACAGTTGAACAATCTTAAAAGACATCCAGGACGAAAAAATTCCTTTGACTGATTGAATTACTGATTGCGGAGGGAAGAGTGCTTTTTTAAGGTTTTATCAAGACAACAGAAAACTAAAACACCGGGTCGTTTTCCAGTCTTAAAGCGTCTGTTGTTAATAATAATTTACGTGGCGAGTACAAACAATTTTATAGAGTACCTTTATTGTATCGGTTTGATAAAATGTACAAGTAAACAGGAAGTAATCATTTGCTAAGCCCCGTGACTGACACGTCACCTTAAATAATACCAGCCTTTTTTTAAAATAATACGTTATAGCTTAAAGTCACGTTACAGCCAGAAGGTTACAGCTTGTAACGTCATCTGCGAGTGCAAGTGTCATCTGTCAATATCTTAGCTTCCTCTTTTCTCGATAGTCCAACGTGATTCTCTAAATTTTCCTGTTTGACTTATTCAGTGGTTCTTACTTAACAACCAATTCTTGTATTTCTCAGGAAGCCAAAAGCGTTGGAATTCTCCTGGTCCCTTTGAATTGATCAGAGTCACGGTGTGGCTGCATAACCACCCGGAGAGAAGGATAATTCAATGGTTAAAAACGTCTTAGAATGAATTCACAGTTTGACTTTTTGACTATTTGAATAATAAAACCGACCAAAACAAAACAAAAAAAGACGATGGAAAAAAAAATACGAGGCGGCTGAAGAGATGTGTATAGCTATCTTCATGTGTGATGCTGAAATTTTCTTTTTAGGCACGCGTCATGACTTGACGCTGAATCTTTTAAATTATAGTTTCGATCGACGGGATCGTTTCCCCCTCCCCCCAAAAAAATCGTAATTCGTACGAAAAACACTGATCTGTGATTTCGAAGATATCACCACTTTTTACAAGCCTGTGATTACCTACATCACCGATTTTTCAAGTGAGTGAACCGCCCAAGGGATCGCGCACAAACAAGCTGACACGTTCTACAAATGTCGCTGATGAAAAGGAAGCAGAAATCAGAGAACCTTTTTTTAGCGATTACAGCAAGCCACCTTCTAAAGCCGCGTTCGTCTGCAATCGCTGATAGACCCTGATAAGTGACCAATCCAAGCGATCGCAGTTTGTCAGCTGATATCGTTCTAAGGTTCACGAAGAGACTTCATAGACATAGTAATATCCCTTCAAACCGACGCCATGATTACACCCGGATGCCTTGGATCGACTGACGAAGACATGCCTTCCTTGGCAGTTTCCAAAGTCCTCAACTGCGAAGAATCTGTATTTCTTCTCCACTGCTAAATTAGCACATTTTGCTACAATCTTTCGCAATTGTGAAGAGATGTGAGAGGACCAGTCAATCTCATCATTAAAGCTTGCAAGTTTGTCCGAAGAAAAGCTCTCATGACAGCCGACCTCGACTGAAAAACAAAACGGAAATTAAAAAAAAAGAGTTAAAGTCAAAAGAATTTTCGGATATTTCGTCAACCATCACACAAAACATACAGTAAAAGAATAGTTTCCATAAATTTAAACCAGTGCTTCGTGCGGAAAACTTAGAAACCCTCTCTCTCTAACCTGTCACTTTTCTCCTTTGCTAAGGACCCTCTTCTTATCGCGGCCGATTTCGTCTGTCACGCAACACTCTGCCGCGAAAGCGCGTTGCATGACAAGACTGAACGACACATGCGAAGGAAACTACTCTCTTTGTTTATTGTCAGGTTTTGAGTTCCTTTCTCCCAGTAATAAGTTGACTCTTACCTATGCATTGTCCTTCAGCCCTACACGACTTGCTCTCTTTATTGGTTCCATTACAATGTTTGCCACCGGCGGCTGGTTCGGGATTGTTACAATGGCGATCGCGTGTCACCACACCAGGACCGCATGTCACGCTACACTCAGTCCAGTTGCTCCACTTGGACCAACCGCCATGAACTGCAAAACGAAAAAGGAAAAAAAACGTGAGTAAATAGTTACAACAAAAACGAGAAAATAAAAAACAAAGGCCAAGCCCCTCATTAAAAGAGTAGTAATAACACGAGGAAAGAATGGTGCTACAAGACTGGTCTCACTAACTTGAAAGAAAAAAACCAATTTAAATTGTTAACCTGGGCATTTGTTTATGGCACATTCCTTTGTTTCATGGTTCTGAGCACCACAGCCTTTCCCACCGAAATAGGGCGGTGGGTTTGTGCAAGAACGAGTGCGTTCTCTGACGCCTCCTCCACAGGTTTTGCCACAGGCTGACCAAGAACTCCAAACGCTCCAAGCACCGTGCACTGCAATGAATAACACAACAGCTAATAACAACACGCATCACACTGGAACACTAAAGCATTTTTAAAATTTTCACAATCGTTCGAGTTTCATGACGATGACATGTGAATGAACTTTGTCTTATTGATAAAAGATCAAAGTGAAAGTATGACTGTCTAATATGGAATCCTCGAACACACATACAAACGTAGTCATCGCAAGTCCCCCCCCCCCCCCCCAGGAATTCGCCAGGCTTCTCACACTGTGTGCAGGTACCCATATTGCGCTCCTGAGTAGAGAGATGCACTGTGAGTTTAGTGTTTTTTCCAAGAACATACGACACAGCCACGCCTCGAACCCAGACCTCTCGCACTAGTCTCTCCCGGAGACTAGTGCGTTAACCATCTGGTCACCGTTCTTGTCACGGGGATCGTAGACAATCCGCAAAATCCACTAATTCAATTGGTCGCAAAATTTTCATATAACACGTATTCTGAGTCGAACCTAGTCTTAGATGAAGTACTCACCCGGGCAGGAATGCGTGTTACATTGATACTTTTCCTGTGCTTTTCCTTGGCATTTTTTCCCGCCATGACTTGGAACTGGCTGCGTGCAGTTTCTGGAGCGCTCCTTAACACCAGTTCCACAAGACTGGCTGCAAAATGTCCATGCACTCCAGTTTGACCAACCACCGTCAACTATTAATTGAACAGATCGAAATACACCATTTTAGCTTTTAGTATTATCATCGGATTTAAAGATAGCCCAATTTTCAAGCAGCGTACAAAAAGATCCAGTCTATAAAGCCTCTATGTGAGGTGCGTTAGTTTTGGACTAACCGTTACAAGCTTTGTTACATTGTCAAGCTTCGTCAGTTACTTCATAAAAGTAGCTAGCATGATGGGGGGTAGACAGGTATGTAACAGATATAAAAGGAAAGAACAGAAAAGTATCGGCAAATAGACTGTAACAACCTTCAGAGAGACAACAAGCAAATAGAAAACTGATGGACATGACAGACAGACAGATAGACAACACATCACTCCACAAGACGTAAAAAGGGCACACGAAACCGATAAAACTTGAATGGCAGACAGAGACAAAGCAAAAGCACTGACAGAGAGCCAGACAGTCAAACAAACGGACAAACAGAAGAAAACAAATATTCGAACAAACAGAAAAAAACAAATAGCCGGACAAACATACGCACAGACAAACAGACCGCCAAATAAACTGAAATCCTGACGCACACACAGACAGACGCGCAGGCGGACAGACAGACAGACTAATAGACAGACAGACAGACTGACAAGCAGAAACAGAGTCAGAAAAACAGACCGCCAGATGAATACAAAAGACAGACAGACAATCAAAAAGACCGATAATGAACAGAAGTCTGTCCGTCTGTCCGACAAACAGTCAGAAAGGCAGATAAATGGGCAGACAGACGAACAGAAAGAAGGACGGAGATAGGGACAGGCAGACAGACGACCAAGGGCTAACAGCAAATGGACGAAAAGCAAAGGCAGATAGACCCGGGCATTTATTTACAGCACATTCCTTGGACTCATAGTAGTGAGAACCACAGCCTTTTCCACCAGAGGAGGGCGGTGGGTTTGTGCAGGAACGAAGACGTTGTCTCTTGCCTTCGCCACAGACTCTGTCACACCGAGACCACAAGCTCCAGCTGCTCCAACCGCCATCCACTAACATTACAACAATGATAGGTTTGTCCAATGCTGGTAACAAAGGTGCTTACGGCGTAACGCTCATACCGTAAGGATTTGCTTTATATCGCTTATTTTGCAGCGCTGTTATGTATTTGCGTAGCTGCTCTGAGCTTTCATCAGTATGAAGTTTACAATTTCAGACCTAAAATGATGCAGGCTTTAATTTAGCAGTTGTTAACTTTTAGAGAGGAGTCCTGCTTCTACGAAAGGAAAAGACAGACAAAGACAATTGGAATGGACGAGATGTCTCCAATTTACATACCAGGACACGCATGCACATTGCACGGGCGGTTTTCCCACGGTTCCCCCTCACAAGGCTTTCCGTTATGCATGGGCGCTGGCTGCGTACAGTTCCGAGACCTTTCTTGTAAACCTGTTCCGCAAGATTTACTACAGGAATTCCATTCACTCCAAACTGACCAACCACCGTCAACTGTAAAGATTAACGAATTAACGATACAGCATAGTCACAAATACTGTTGTGTTCTAAGAAAGTTAAAACATCAAACCGCAAACTCCTAAAATGTGTTTCTCCGAAACGGTGTCCAGTTTTCTTTGTACAAGAAAGAATGTCTAGCGTGAATGGTTACCTTCGCAAAAAACACTTGAAGTGAAAGATGACATCAGATTTATCTAAACAGCGACACACCCACCTGCACAAGGATGTCTCACACATGCCTGTATCTTCTGTGTGTTTCCTGTACATGGCGTTCCACCATGTTTAGGCTCAGGATTTGTACAAGTGCGAGAAAGAATCTTTGTTCCATTGCCACAACTTACACTACATGGCATTGACATAGACCAAACAGACCAACCACCGTTGACTGTGAAAAAAAATAAGACTTCCTAAAAACTAACACGATTAAGCCAAACCAGCTGATATATTCCTTCTCGTCATTTTGGCACTGGATACGTAGAATGTACGTTATCGACACAGGTCAGGCTATTCACGCTACATGAATAGTGCAGCATAGAATATAAAATAAGGATACAGTTGGGGAGCTAAATCAAATGGTTTTTGGAAACACAGAAAATTACCTGTTGCCTATGACCTATCACTTTTCTCCATAGCCTATTCTAAACCTAACTTGATAAACCTAACAGCATAACACAATCTATCAAAGAGTAATAACATTTTCCTTACCTGGACAAGAAATTCTCGAGCAAGGCTGCTTCTTCTTTGCTTCTCCAGGGCAAGGCTTTCCCCCATTTTTAGGCCTAGGATTTGTGCAAGATCGTGAAACGATTTCTACTCCATTGCCACAAGTCACACTGCATGGCATCGACATAGACCAGCTGGACCACCCTCCGTTGACTGGAAAATAAGCAACATGCACCAAGTGAAAATTTTTAATGAAGTGTGTTTAAAGGATGTAAGTATGTAGTACACCTAAAGTTGTGACTTAGTATTAAAAATTACTCTGAAAAAGAAGAACTGTGACATCACCCTTATTTACCTGGGCATGGATGCGTGTTGCACACCCGCTGCTCATTCCCTGCTCCTGGACAGGATTTTCCTCCATATAAAGGGGACGGTGCCGTGCACGTTCGTGATCGCCTCTGTTCTCCAACATCACAGGGGTGGCTGCAGTCTGACCATACACCCCAGCCTGACCATCCTCCATCCACTACAAGGGAAAAGAAAGACGTGACGAATTATAGATTAAGATTGAAAACAAACAGGTAGAATGGATTTTCTTTCAACCTTTTCTTCGCTATTAAATAATATACACTTATCACTAATATAAACTTCGTCTCAGGAAACAACAGAATTCGAGGAAAAGCAAAACTAACTGGTTCCCGAGGGACCATACCTTAAGTGCTTTGTTATATATTTAGACTCTTCCTTAAACAATCGTATGGCAAAAAAATTCTGTAGTATTCGGCGCGCGGGTAACAACTGCGGAATTGTATCCCGGTCGGGATGAATTTGAATTTGATCAGGAGCACGTGACCAAGAATCAACTAATCACAATGCTCGTTTTGTTGAGTGAAAGTGAAGGTACATAACAATTCTTCTTGTTTATTGTTTGTTCTGTTTAAGTTTGATGCTGTTTATTTGTAATCCCTTTGAGCTTAGAACTCCAGCACTGTTACTGGATTTTTAAACTTTTAGAATACATACAGCAATGTTTCCTTCTTACCGGGACAGGGCTGCTGATTGCACGATCGTACCAGCTTGGCGGACCCTGAGCAAGAATTGCCACCATGTTGTGGGCGAGGATTTGTACAGCTTCTGGTGCGTTCTCGAGAACCTTTTCCACATGAATTGGAGCATGAAGTCCAGCCACTCCAACTTGACCAGCCACCGTTAACTGAAATGTAACAAATGGAAATTTAGCATTTAGGGACTTTTGGATGAGACTGCAGACAGTTGCGGATCAAAAGACATTAAGGAATCCAAGGGTATAGACAAAAATGTGTGCGACCATGCGGAAAGTTCATTTCTCTTATAATGGGTGGGCGGGGAACAGTGGAAAATACTTAAAAACTGAATTGCTTTCAAATACTATATTTGCCGAGGAGTATGAAATTATTGATCAATCGAGTTTTAGTCACTTACCATGTCCAATCAACTTAAACGCCAATCAAACAACAGATAATATCAGAATAAAAACAACGCGTCCGAAGAGGTAAGCAAAAAAAAAATGAGATAAAAAACAAACAAAACAAAGAAAAGAAACAGAACGAACTAAACTGAACAAAAAACAACAATAAACGATGAAATACATTTGGGTTAACCGATTCCCGTATCCATTCATAAAATTTTTCCGGAAAGGCCGCTTTAAAGGAAAGCCCATCTTTCCCATGACGAGGACATTGCATGAAAGAGTAACAAAGTTTTTCCACTTAGTGCAGTCACATCTGAATTTTACCAGGGCACTGTTTCTTGTTACAATTCCTTTTGTCACGTGTTTGGCCTGTGCAAAGTCTACCACCATGTTTTGGTCGAGGATTAGTGCATCCTCGAAAACGTTCTTGGGAACCAGTTCCACAGGATTTGGTGCATGAAGTCCACCCGCTCCATCTTGACCAACCACCGTGTACTAAGTTGCAACAATAGCAAATTGAACATCAACAAAATGTTCCCAAATTGATTCAATCAAAACTACAGTATTCACGATGGTGAATCAGAAAAAATGGAAAATACCGGTATCTTAAGGAGCTGTACCGAACTTGTGGGTACACTCTCCTCTCAGTCGTCAAATCCTTGTTTTTATTGTTTATCGTCGACATTCACCACGTCACAAACTTAGTACACTCTTTCCTAAAAACCTATAGCTTCAATCATCACGTCTCCCATTTCACTTTTAACCTAACGCGAATACGTAAGTGTCATGTCACACAACTTCTGTTTAGAACCAAAGAATCCTGAGACAGCCTGGAGGATGAGGAAACTAGGGTGACCAAGTCTAGGTTGGCTTCAGGTTTGCATTTCGTAGGTGTAAGGATAAAGGCGAGTTCCATAGGCTAATCATGAAGAGTGACATACATATCTAAGATCAGCAATCTTCGCTTCTTACCGGGGCAAGGCTGTTGGTTACACGATCGTTCCAGCTTGGCGGACCCTGAGCAGGATTTGCCACCATGTTGTGGACGAGGATTTGTGCAGCTTCTGGCGCGTTCTTGGGAACCAGTTCCACAGGGTTTGGTGCAAGAGGTCCAACCACTCCAACTTGACCAACCACCGTTAACTGAGTTGTAGCAAATGGAAGTAGAACGTCAGCGATAGGGACATATTATTACATCGTATTATTACGTGCACATTATTCGTTCCTATGCTTCGGATATCCACGAGTAAAAACGGCCAAAAAAAATTAAAAAAACAAGCAAACAAAACAAATAAAAAACAAAAAACAAGCAGAACAAATAACAAAGAAAAGACGCAAATCAAAGAAAGCATAAAACAAAACAAAAATGCCTTTTGAGAGTCAAAACGATCATCGTGTCTGATCGTCAAAGCATTCCGGGAACAGGCCGTCTTAAAGAAATCCCATCTAAATCATGAATAAGACCTTTCATGAAAGAATAACACAGTGTTTCCAATCAGTGAAGCTACATTTATTTTTTTACCAGGGCATCTTTGCCTATTGCAAATCCTCTTATTATTCTTTAGGCCAGTGCAAAGTCTCCCGCCATATTTTGGTTCTGGATTTGTGCAGCTTCGAGAACGCTCTTGAGAACCGGTTCCACAGGTTTGAGAGCATGAAGTCCATCCACTCCATTTTGACCAACCGCCATGCACTAAATTGCAAGAGGAAGAAATGATAAATTTGTATGTTATATGTGAGAGAAGCACAACGTAAGACACAACCTAAAAATTACAAAAGCTACGGGGAGGAAAAAAAATTGTGTGAAGGGGATTCTTTTCTCTACCAATTTCTAGACTGTACAAAAAGAGGTAAAAATCATGAATAAGACCTTTCATGAAAGAATAACACAGTGTTTCCACTCAGTGAAGCTACATTTATTTTTACCAGGGCATCTTTGCCTTCTGCAAATCCTCTTATTACTCTTCAGGCCAGTGCAAAGTCTCCCGCCATGTTTTGGTTTTGGATTCGTGCAGCTTCGAGAACGCACTTGAAAACCGGTTCCACAGGTTTGAGAGCATGAGGTCCATCCACTCCATTTTGACCAACCGCCATGCACTAAATTGCAAGAGGAAGAAATGATAAATTTGTATGTTATGTGTGAGAGAAGCACAACGTAGGACACAACCTGAAAAATGCAAAAGCCACTGGGAGGAAAAAAAATTGCGTGACGGAGCATTCTTTTCCGTACCAATTTCTAGACTGTACAAAAAGAGGTATCAGGCGTTTGTAGAAAACCAAAATATACCATATCCGATTGCCAAAATCTCTAAAAATTCAATGAAAACACTAGAGGGCCTCTACTAAAAAGATAATCAAGAAATTTGAACTTCTGCTTTTCGTCTCTGAAGCTTTTAAGCTTCATGTAAAAGTGAAGTTTACTCACCTCTCCGGTGTCTGGCTTACAAGAATATTTCAACAACGAGGGGGAAAAAATCAGAACTATAAATCTATCTTTGTTTCCTCACCTGGACAGGGGCGTAGAAAACAGGGTCGCTCTTGCTGCGATGAGCCAGAGCAAGTTTTGCCGCCATTTTTTGGAGACGGATTTGTGCAGGTTCGTGTGCGCAACTGTTTACCAGTTCCACAGAGAGCGGTGCATGCGCTCCATTTACTCCAAGTGGAATAACCTCCGTTAACTGAAGGGCAGAAGTTACGATTGATTAGTATAATTTATTAGTGTTTAAGGTAATTGCATTATGATAAGAAGTGCAAGTAGTGCAAAGGAGGAAAGCGGAAGATACCAAGGAACTCTTTAATCCCTGTCCTCTAGTTTCTCGAGGGAGGAAAATATTTTGGGATCGAAATCTCTTCCTTATAAGGCACGGTTAACCTCTCCATTAAATCTCTGTGTGTTTTATCGTGCAGAAGCTGAAGTAAGGCACGCACAAAGGAAAAAAACTAACCGAGCAAAAGGCGACCGAAAAGATCAAAGAAGAAATCAGTCCCTTAGATTCTTCATAAATTACTAAGTTTTTTCTACCTCTAGTACAGCATTGTCCGCCATATCCGCTCTTACAAAGACATCGGCCAGTTAGGGGTATACCTCCATTAGAACATCCTCTATTACAAGCTCGTGTCTCTCTCAACGGAGGACACGAGGACCCATCGCATGAAGGATACCTTGATACAGTGCGTGTACGAGTTTGTGTCCCTCCGTTACCACATGGCTGGCTACATGAACTCCACTGCTTGAAAGTAGTGACGGCACAGTTTATTCTTGGGCACCTCCGTCTTCGTCGTCTCCTCCACCCTTCTGTTTGGTTGGCCAGCATACTTAAAACCACCAAAATCCATAAATATTTTGACGTCATCCTGACAGGCTTTGATCTAATGCAGGCTGATTATCCAGCTGTCTTGCAAATTGGCAAAGTTGGGAGATGCGAGCACTGAAAAGGTTCCTTATCTGAAATGAATATTTAGAAGACATTATGCTAAAATGCTGGGAATGAAGAAATTAATTGTGTCTGCCGAGTTTCAAAAATGCTTACTCCTGCAAAATTGATTCCCATAAAGCCCAAGTAGCGGCAAGCGGAAGCATGACTGTTTACATGCTTAGAGGCTGTCAGCTGGCGTTCGACGAAAATTGTGGTGGCGGAGTTTCGAATAATTAATAAAGGGAGTAATGAGAGTCAAATCTTAGCAGAGGCAGTTAAAATAAAGGGAGCAAGTTTCTAAAGAATCTGTGATGCTGCGTCAGCGGGGGTTATTGCGCGATAATTTTGTTTCGCCACCGTAAAGAGTTTCTTAGTGACGTTTGAGCGGTAGCCTTTCTTAGTCAAAGCTGTGGATTTTATTTAACGCCGAAAGACGTCTTTCTCATGCCGGTCAAGTACATCTAATCACTTCAGAAGCAGTTGAAAGTTCTCTATTGTTTAAAAGAAAATGTAGTGCGCGTGAAACGCACGTGGAATCACTTCCGTCAAACACGACAGTCCAAGCCGAGCGAAGAGTAGTTAGTAACTGTGCTGCATAAAGCTGTAACATAACATCTCAGTCTTCTTCTCAGATTTCTCTGATAAGAATCAATTTCGATTTCTAATTCAATAGAACAAGAATAAGTCCCTTATTTTTCTAATGGGCGGATTCAGTGTTACACAGCAAGAGATTTCACTTTCCACTACTGCGCAACGTACATAGCTACGACCCATTTTAGTGAGGTCAACACAACTTTGGACTTGCTCAACATGTTCGCCTGCGTCTGGCTTCTTTCACAAACAGAAGTTAATAATAACATATGAAATTGTCTGAAAATAAAAAGCCGGTTTAAATGTATTCTTAAAAGCACATAGTATGCTCCAGCTTTCCAAGCGATGAAAGCGAAACTCGATGGGTCTAGGCTGTCTTAGGCGCGCGTCCTAATAGTTTAGATTGTTTCGGTATAAAGCTTTAAGCGGCGTCTTCAGTTCTTCTGCATATTGCAATGCGGCCTTATTTTACACTCTGATATCCATTAGAAACCTTTTCTATCGCAAAAACTGCTTCATCAGCTGTACATGTATATATGTATATATAGTATACTGACTACAACGCAGCTTTCGGAAACTTCACATATAGATCAAATCATGTCAAGCGAAGCGTTGTATCGTTTATAATTGTGCTTTTAACGATGACAATCATTCTTTGAATTGATATGGTGATTGTGACACTTACCTCAACTGTAAAAAAGTATTCCTTCTCCTCGACTAATGAAACTGATCACGCACGCTGACTGAGATTCTCTACGCCAATTAATTAGCCCAGACCTTGTTATGATGTGACAAGCAGGGAATTTTGAATATTTATCAATAACACTTCCTTTTAGCGCGATTCAGCTAAATATCAATCCTTTCAGATTCCAAAATTTCCTTTCAGGCACAGAAATGCAATAATTAATTTTACATTTCTCAAGAAAATTGACGTATTCGCAGAATGGGAATGTCAGTAGAGAAGCACTTGGGCATACGTTTGTTGGCTTGGCTCGTGGTATCTGATCGTGACAGGAACACAAATGTAGCATCTCCATTACGTCATGTCACGCAGATTACGCCAACCGGAAAGGCGTCACCCATGTTCCTTCAACGTTTCCTTCAACTCCAATTAATTCAATGTGGAATGTGGCGGAAACAATCGCTTTGGGAGACATATTTTAATTCAAGTCTTGAGACTGTTTGGTCTTGAGAGGGAAACACAAATAGGGTTTTAAATGCTCGTCATTTCCGTGCAGGTCGACACAAAGCGAGTATTTCGTCACGCAATCTTCGTTTCAACTTCAGCGGAGGGCTGATCAAAAGTCCAAAAATATACCAAAACCCACCAATAATAAGAGATTCAAAGAAACAAGATCAGCATTTAACAGTTCAGCGACTGAACTGGTGTAGACACGTAAGGTCTTTTGAGAACCATTTGAAGAGTGCCTAAGAAGGCTTTGAGATCTGGGCCGGGGTGGTTTTGAGGTGCTAAAACCCCCACTGGCGTGGGAAGAGAGGGAATCGGATCGGATGCCCCCTGATCTGATTATTTCACAGCTAATGATGGTCTTAATTTTCATATTTCATTCGATCAAAGAGAGACACCCCCTTTAGTCAAATTGCAAATGAAGAACGAGATCACAACATTTTATAAAATTTTATAAAGAGGGATTGGACTCGGTCGGATCATCTGAAATTAAATGCAACCCGTGTCGCCTAGAAATTTTTTAAAAAAATTTTTAAATAGGTACTATATTTATCTTTCGAATGTAAAAGTAGTAGTGGTAATAATGATGATAATAATAATAATAATGATAATGATGACGTTTATAATAATAATAAAAAACTAAATTCACATTTTCAAGAGATTATGGACTGTTTATAATCTTTTGCATATTTCACATCCATCCACAAATAACTCAACACGCAATAAAATGATATTTCCTACTGGATCATCATTCAGACTCTACGAAGGCAAGATGCGATCGTAGTTTTTTCCTAAAATTACTAATTTGGAAGTGAGTTTTATATTAAAATCTAACCGTTAAAATTGAAGGTATTCAAAGATTCAAATTCAATTATTAAATTACTCATAAGAACTGTGATCGTGAGTAGGCTATCCAGCTAAAAATTATTTTCAAAAAAGCGCAAGTTAGCCTCACAATTTTCCTGAGCAAGGCGCTTGAGGAAAAATGTGCGTATTTTGCCCACCCCACCACCGCAAGAACAGCCACCTGTTCGAAATCGGAAAGCTTTGTAGCCTCGCCCGGAATATTTCAGCCGGTCCGCCAGTTTTGTTTTGTTTAAGTCGCAAGGAAACAACGCACATGGTTAGGGCAAAATTTTTCTACGAAATTCATAGACAGCAAATCCGGCATTCTATTACAAAGCAAGATGCTGGCGCATTTCGCACGAGGTAGTTCGGATGTGGATTGGTGTGAATCAAATTATGCCCATGTTACCTTCATCGCTGAATTTTATAACACGGTAAGGCAAATAAGCGATTTTGAGTTTACAATTGAAAGAGATGTCGGTTCTTAATTGTTTGAAAGCGATCCTAACGTCGCTTCTCTGAATACCATACCAAGCAAATACGATGTTAACTGAGATATATTTTCAATTCAGGTCAGCAACGCTGTATTCCTAATTCTTCCGCCATTTTTTATGTGAGTACTATTTTTTTTTATAATCCTTCGTTTGCCGTCCTTCAATCATCTTTGTTTACTTTTATCTCTTAAAATACGTCTTTTCTTCTCGTACCTTTTTTAAGATCACCTGTCGATGTTATAATGTTTATTGCTAGGAAATCTTGTGAAATATTTAAGACCACAAATATTCGACCTTAACTGAAACTAGAATTAGAAAGATCTACTAAATTTGCTGAAGGTTGCTTGCAGAAAAATGATTTTGCTCTCCTTGCGCTGAGAAAAAATTTCCATATTGGCTTAACGTTACTCTCTTGAGAATGTCCACAATGAAACAAGATTAATTGTTTTGACTAAATCCAAAGTAAACATTGCTGAAAGATGTAATTTATTCGCAACTGACATGTTGAAGTTTCAGATCGAACACCCAAACGATAAACTCTCTGTGAAAAACGACAAGACCCTAATCTTTTATTTCTTCTTATTTCTAGAACGATTTAAAATTGCCAGTGGACTTAATGAAAAAAAAAAACAAAACAAAACAAAAAGCAAAATAATTTAAAACGAAGGAATAAATACAGATCGTCAGTTTTAAAAGATATTCAGATTACTCGTGAGTAAAACTTATCAAAACGTAACAGGTAATCGAAAAGTACCTGGCAACCATGATTAGGAATTTGCATAACATAAAATCTACATGTCTAAGAGTAAGCCTTCAATAATAAAAGAAAACATTTATAATATGGTGTCCGTTTCGTGAAACTTAAGTCAGGGAACGAGTAGAAACAATTTCGAAATTTTAATTCCGCTGATTTTTCCTACGAGGGAACAACCCATTACGTGAGTGTGGAAAATTTTTTTTTCCATGTTGCACGAATTCAGAATAATACCACCTGAAAGTTTCTCAGCGGTAAACAGCTGGGGTTAAAAGCATGTACTGCACACGGACTATTTTCATAGTAAGTTACTCAGCGTCTGAAATTTCTGCGTACCGCCAGCGGCACTTTAAAAAGCCGCCAGTTGAATGATAAGCGCATCGAGTCGCTTCAAAATTGAAAATTGCCGCCCACAAAACGTAGGCGAGAGTTATTAACCGCATTTGAAAATCCGCCGATACAACTTTTTTTTTTGTCCTTGATTCGTTTATTCGCTGGCGTTCATTATGTGAATAGAATTCATTAGTAAACCGCTTCGTGGTCTCTGCCGTATCGGTGTTAAAATTGACAGGTTCAGTCAGGCGGTAAACAACAAAAACAATATAACAGCATCGTGTTTGAGTGTTGAGGTTGCGGTTGAAGTAGCAGGCATGATGCTTTTCTTCTTCGAGATGAAATGGTTATAGAATAAGAGTAACGTCGAAATGTCCACATATCGACCAGGGAAGGGAGGCGAAACATTAAAAAATTTGCAAAATTGCAATACCATACTGGGCTAAGGTCGGCGAGAAAAAAAATTGGCAAAAGGAATAATCTTCTTCCAAAGCGTCAGCCACCACTGTTAGGCTGTTGTGGCAATAAATATTTCATTTTCAATTTAAATTTGTTGTAAACTTTACTGTGTTTGTAATCAATTATGTATGTTGAAGTCAGGTACGACAAATCCCAACGTATAGTGCAAACATGGAAACGTTTTACAAGGAGTGCGTTAAATCCGCGGAGAAAATAAAAAGCAGATTTATTTGGAAAAACATATGAACGCCTTTAGGCTTTATGTTGCACAACAGTGAGCGTGGGAAGCAGAAAAGCGCTTGCTTTGCTGAATATTCCCAGTGGGGGATAATTAGAACTTCGCGTCGATCTTTTATTTTCACTGTGTATGAGTGTCTGAAGACTGTTTCATTTTTTTTTCGTAATGAAAACAAAATTGGAATATAGTTTGACCCCAGACTACGTGTATCTAAAGAAATTCTGTCGGACCTACTTATCTCGCTAAAACGAAAAACTAAGACAAAAATCAAATTCTCAGCACTCTTCGATTGAAAATTGTCAAACTAAATCCAAAACAAACGATGCAACCAGGAGCCAATCGGAGCAAAGTTCAACATCACGAAGAGCCAATGGGAACAAATGGAAAACGCACGTGAACACCATCAAGCGCGGGAATATGCCTGATTAGTCACATCACGATTGGTTTCAAAGCGCGTTTGGATCGAGTGTTGTAAACTAAGAGCCAGAGAAACCACAACTGGAATGCGCGAAATAGTTACATCTCGACTGGTTTTTAAATTAGAGAGCATTTCACCACTGGACCGAGTGTCGTTAAATCAAATCCAAAGTAATCACAACAGCTAATCTGACCTGAAAAAAAACTCAAGTACCAATAAGGGCTCAAAATGAAAATAACTAAACTACTTGAGCCGCGGGAAAAGTACGGGTGACCAAGTTGCCCTTTGTTTTAGTTTTGAAACTGATTGGTTGAGTACGTCGCGTGTTTTCTGGACCAATCACACGACGATGTAAGGCAGAGCTAATACAATTCCCAACTACTTTGGAGATTGAATCGAAAATATCTCTAATCCTGTTTTTGATTGGTTGCAAAATTGGTGCACAATTATTTGACAATGTCCCCTCAAAATTAAAACAACAATTTTGGTATTTTTTAGATACCTGTTTCGTCCGTACTCAAAGTATGTCTGCTCTGGGATCAATATCATTTGGGTTTTGTTCGTCGTCATTGGATTGAGTTCAGCCTATTTTCACGCAACACTTAGTCTCGTGGGTCAACTTTTGGATGAACTTGCCATCCTGTGGGTTTTGATGGTAGCACTAGCCTTATGGACACCAAAATGGATGTTAGCTCTCAGTCCGTTTGGAGGAGACAGGTATTTGAACTCTACAAGAGGCTAGGGCTGTGAGAAAAAGATATTTTGACACAAATAGCAGTTTTTCTTCTCCATTCCATTTCTTTCTCTTTTTTTTTCTAATTTTCTTTTGTTTATTTTAGCTCCTATATCAGTACCACCAGAAAACTATTTTTCGTTCTCTACTCATAACGTTTGGGCCATTTCAAACGTGTTAGTTTTGAATAAACTCTTCCAGCTTGAATGGCCTTGAAGATCTTTCTCTCAAACGCACTCCAGAGAAGTGTTTTTCGCTTTAACCAAAAGTTGTCATCCTGTATATACCTTAAAGTGATCAAATACAGCACAGTGCATTCAGTGAGGAAGTGTGGCATTGTGGCAAAATATGGCTCATTTGAAGTTAAAGTCGCGTAGTTCATAATGGTTACGCGATATGTCAACTAATTTCGACGTTGATTGCAGTTGTTTCGGCCTCTCACTCCACATTTTATTGCTCCTTCTTTCTCTCCCGTTTGCATTTTTTTGTGCCGCATCTTCCTGGAAAGTACTGATATATATCATTATGCCGGTTTTGTTTATGCTTAGAGAAACATTCCAGTACGCTGTCCTTGGCTTGTCTTTGGTTTGTACGTGGTTAGGATTTATCTATCCTGTGGCAAATGCATTCGTTTTGATGGCGTTTGGAGCTCCATTTCTCTTCATGCTGTTTGCTGAACTTAAAAGGTGACTCATTTGCACAACTGACCGTAATTAACTGATTCAATTTAGCACCATCGTTAAAGTAAGTGCCCCTCTGCCCTCTTAAATGAACGTCGAAGCTTAGTTTAGCACATTCTGCTGTTTCTCAAAAAAGAAATAAGCACCCTGCCCCTAAGAAGTGCCCTGTTTCGAATAAATGCCCTTCTTAGAGGTACCATAAGTAAGTAAGCACCCGGGCGCTAAATTGAATCATTACGGTACATGTGGGCCGCTTGACTCTAACAACTAAGAGTAACACCATAAAATTGACCGACAGGTTTCCTCGAGCCAGATTTAAATAAACACTGGAAAGATTCACTGTCTTTTTTGCTTCTGATTATAACTTTCATTGAGGTTGTTGAAGTGTCTTGCACGGTCACCGAAAACCGTCTTTAACCCTTGAACCACTAAGAGTGACTGGAATCTAGTTTCTCCTCACTGTATCACAACTGAATCAAATACTAAGAGCGTGAGAATAAAGGACATGATCAGCGACTAAGGAGGGCTCTTGTTCATGTTAAACAACTTCTCCTTGTCAGCACCTTTTGAAATATGTAGAGAACAGTATGGAGAATATGCAAACTGATATTGGGGTATAAAGAGTTAAGGACGCTTACTACTAGACGACCTTTACGTGCAAAAAAGGTAAAGGGTGGCATATAGCATGGAGCGACTAGGAGTATCTCAACTTCCCCCTGGATGGATGCCAATCAATTTTAAGGTTACCCCCTGTATTTTAGCAGGCTTCCCTGATAATTGTGGTACACATATTTATACTCCTGGGTGGAGAGAGAGAGAGACACGGCGCGAGTAAAATGCATTACCCAGGATCACAGCATATTGACCCAGCCCGGTCTCGAACCCAGACCTCTCGACCCGGAGTCCAGTGAACACTGCGTCTCCCCTATGTAAACCTCACAATAGATTTACCCATTTTCTAAGCATTGATCCTCCATTGATAACATTGATATTCCATTGATCCTCCATCGATAACATTGCTCCTACATTGCTCCTTCATCGATAACAACCTACTTTGCTTTAAACCTGGTATGCTTGTTTCCTTTCTTTTTTTATTTAAATTTTTTAATTCATTTTTTATTTTTTCAATTCTACTATTTTTCTCCTTCTGTACTTTGCAGATGTAAGGACTTGAAAGTTAAAAGATTAGGATTCGCATGTGTTGGATGGTGGTTTGTCGCTGTAGTTTTCTGGATAAATGATCGAGCATTCTGTGACGTATGGCGGTCTGTCTCTTTCCCATACCTTCACTGCGCATGGCATATTCTAATTTTTATTGCATGCTACACTGGCTGCGTTTTGGGTTCATACTTCTACGCTGCAACAGAGTTTCCTCAATTGCGCCCGGCTTTATCCTTCTGGCCTCGTTGGTCGTGCGAGTGGGGAGTTCCATATGTGATGTTAAAGGGAGTGCCAATGGAAGAAAATCCTTGACAAAATTCTATTATAGCGAGAACGAACCGGGCTCCAACTTAAAAGCTGCGGGTGAGAAAGGCTGTTTGCTGCAATAGACTTTCCGCATTCGTTTCCCGCTCTGGTCTTGTATGTCTAGAAAATGAGAAGTCCTACACATGTGCGTTGAGTACAAGGTGGTAACACATGTAGAAGAAAACTTTTTAGAAAATTCTACTTGGCAGAAGACATTATCTTGGGCTCATATATCTAATCTGCAACTGAGACTCCAAAGCTGCCTCCCGCCCTGTTCTTGCTGATATAATGAACAGGGAGTTGCATACATGCACATCGTGTTAAATGCGGTACCATAGAGAAGGAAACTTCTGAAAAAAAATTCTTCATCACAGAAGAAACTGTCCCATGTTCTTGCATCTGAGCTACAACCGAGTATCCATAGGTAGGCCTCGCTCTGTTCCCGCTGGTCTTGCGAATTAGTAGTCATCATGCTGGGGTTGGACCAAAAAAAAGAAACCTCTGAACACACTCCTGAGGACCGTCTCTCGAACGTCCCAATAGTTCCCGAAAAAGCTTCTTTTTGCTCGCCGTCCCAACGTTTAAGATCGAGATACAAATTACTTTGAAATTCAAGCAATTAAAAATAACCAGGAACGATTCAGAATAGGCTGTTATTTGAGCTAATGCAGCACTTCTGTTCCCAAGATACAGGTTTTAGAAAATGGCTTTAAGTCCTTTAAAGAGTGAAGGGTTTCGAGAAACGAGCCCCCTAAACTCTTATGTTTAAGCTGCCACAGAGTTGCTTCAGTTACGTCCAGCTAAAGTATTACAAACCAGCAAGAGAACACAAACCGATGTTGGCGCTTACAAATTGTCGAGCGACACAAACGCTTTTCATGGGCAAGGCAACTTTGTGCGCAGACGAGGTGGATGGATAATATTTCTGCAAACTACATGCGTATACATCTACAGGGTGTAGGTTACTACATTAAAAGAAAAAAGACAAACAAACAAACAAAAAGAAACATTGAAGACAACGGTAGCTACATCCAGGTTTGAACTATCAAGAGCGCCCATCAAAGGTACCACCATCGCATTGTGGGTGCTGCTCAAAGGAAAAAAAAAATATTCAAATGTGCGGAGACTGTGGGTAGATTGACTAACACATTTTAATTCCACGATATCATTAAATATCATATACAATTCACTAATTAAATTATAATATGTAATTTATAAATAAAAAACTCTGTCGTACTCTTGTATAAATAGGAGGGGTCTTAAAATTCATATCATCTGAGGCTTTGGTCACGACTTAAACGCTATAATGCTCATCACGATTCAAAGAAATGTGGAAAACATTTTAAGAATGTGAATAAAATTTGGAGATGGTGAGGCAATGTCATTTTCAGACCCATAAACGCAGTTCAACATGGCGCAGTAGCTTCGGTCGCCATCAAAAATTTAACTACGATATACATATATATCAAGCTTAGTGGTGATCGTTTATCATTAAATGTAATGATGGGAAAGTTTTACAAATCTGCACTTGTTAATCAAACGCAATGGTACCGAACGTTATCAAAAACGTTCCACGTTTCATAAAAAAAACCTCGAATTTGTTTTTGCTCATACGCGTGTGTACTGGAAATCTTAGGTACAACGAATTCCTCTCCAAATTCTAACGAGTAAGCTGTATATACAAGATTGAAACTAGAACCACGCACGGTGCTCCCGTTGAAGAATGTTGAACGTCGAAGGCAGTTGGAGAAGTGTATTTCTTATCCATAGCGCACCTTCTACTCTTACAAGAAGACTTAGAGTTGGTGTAGGGTCTTGCCATGATAAAAGCTAGGTTTGCCGAGGTCGAGGTTGTCAAAGCCGGCAATCGCGCCGTCTTATCTTACATTCGTGTTCAATTTTGCATTGCATGACAAAAATGGCCATTCGCGTGGTTTTACATTCAATGTTTTAGTCAGGTAACCTTGATACTCTCCAGACTTGGTGATATATTGAGTGTATGCCACGCCTGCAATAAAACCAGTGAACGCGAATTATTAACTCGTTACAAAACCGTGCAAATACTCCTACTAAGCTACTGCACACTGTAAATTCGAGATCATCTATGAATTTATGCGCAGCAACTACTGAACGGTTTCAGACAAAAAACAGTGATGAGTCAAATTTAGTAATCAACATCTATTTCCTCTTTCTTTGTTTCTTTACGTCATCTATAACGTGCACAACTGACAGTTTTGTGTCCTCTTTAACGTTTTGTGTATACTACGTGATGAACAAGAAGGTCGCAATGGGTGTTAAAACTACCCTACCGACCCCTGCCTCTTGCAGCTTTGCCGGTCATCACTTTAGCGCATAATAAACAACCAGCGACCCAGAATGCGACATCTAAACTATGCACATGTTTTGAAACGTCAAATGATGGAAACTGTAAATTACGAGCAGTGTACGCATTTTCTTAATTGCACTTACCAGCCTGAATTTCATTTTGATGTTTTCGAATTTTTCAACACTGCAGACAGCTTTGGCGACATTATTTCCATCAAATGGTTCTGTAATAAAACAAGAAAAAGGTATTACTTATTAAAGCTAATTGGGAAAAGACAAACAAAGTTAACTGTTTCCCTCGCAATAAGACATTAAATGCGTATTGTGTAGGGAAAAAAAACTCACCTTCTACACAAACCAACTTCCTTCTACGTTGTGAGTCTCGTGGATAAGCAGCACCAAGTGCAATGGAAATATAATCAGTACTCCAGCTAAGAAGGAAATAAAAGTGAATGTAATACCTCCACCACCCTTTCACTCCAAAGGTTGCAATACTAATTCTCCTTACTGTCTGTCGTACGATTCTAACGATGTTATTTCAGAGAATTTGGTATTGGATCAACTAACAATCCCTTGATTGATATTTTTCTATATTCTCATTACCTGTCAGCTTGATATTGAAATGATATTGAAATGATATTGAAATGATATTGAAATGATATTGGAATGATATTGAAATGATATTGAAAATTTCGTATTGGTCACCTATGGGGTTTAAGGATTAAGACGAGTGTAAAAGATGTCACTGTTTAAAGGAAGTAAGATTCTAAAAAAAACTGTGGTGCTGCGTCGGTGGAGAGTATAGCAAGGCCATCTGAGTATTTTTAACTAGGTTTATAACGTAAATTGGCCACCGTTAAGAGTTTCAAAGCTAAAACTCTAAAGGGTAAAAACTCTTACGTTATCAACTGAGTTGATAATACCAAATTACAGATGTCACTGTATGTTTTGTTTCTGATCAGCACGAACAGAGCATTAAAATCATACCTAAAATCTGCAGCATAGTATTTGAAGAATCCAATAAATAGCTCTCCTATAGATTGTCTGTTCTCTGATCTGTGAATTATCAGGCACAATTAGTATTAGGAGCAAAAAATATTGCTATGTTTCTGTGGACACAATTGGATCGCCAGAATAATGCAAAAGGAAACGTGATGTTAACTTACTGGTTGCAGACCATATGTTTACACGGATTCAGGGTTAAAAGGCTTGAGAAATCGCTTGTGTATCTGAACAATGCCTGTTAAACAAAACGAAAAAAAAAACCCCACCAAAATATCACATTTTATCAAAAAATACAAGATACATACATATCAAAATATTTCTCATGTCTCTCTTGTTATCATGCATCTTATTTTCTAATGCATATGCTACTCATTTCTTAGCCAAGATCTGGTTGTTAATTTAATAACTTGATATGATGACAACCAATTTAGGTTATCCTGCAATTTATATAAAAAAGGTGTGCATGAGCACATGCCGTACTTACTGGATATTGCCTTTGTAAGACAGGAACTACAGCAGGTTTACAAACACCTTACAAACAAACAAAAAAATGCATTGCATACAAAAAATTATTCTTGAATAAATACACCAACTACATTTCACTCCCCCCCTTACCAAATCATTAACTCCTGAATATGCTCATGTATATGTACATGTACTATGTACACATGTGCATGTCAGGGGAGCTTACTTTTACTCATAATCCCTAACTAAGAAGTAAAAAAAAGCAAAACTTACAATAACTAAATTTCAGGTTGGTAACATTTCAAACATACCTTGTAGATAGTGAATGACCATCAGAGCAAGAGCATAGCTAGAGAGTGTACCCAAGCTAGCATCATTGATGTTGTGTGTTTTGGCCCACCTCTTCACCAACATCACCAGTGGCTGGACACGATAATCCACTGATGTAAAAAGAAATAAAGAAATAAATAACTACCTAGTATATAATAATACTTTAATAAGTATAAATGTATACATCAAAACCCTTTGGTCCCTCTGAGTGACCAACATATTATTTCTCCTTACAGTATCACCCCTGAATCAACCATTGAGGTCATGAGAAAGAAGGAAATGATCACGGATTGAGAAAGCTCGTAGGTATTCAACAAATTCTCCTTATCAGTACTAGAGAGAATTTACAGAGAACAGTTTGGAAAATATGACCACTGATATTAGGACTAAAGGCACTAGGTAAAAAGACAAATTAATGTGGCAAAGTGCACACGTTTTTCATTTACATGTTTCATTATAAGATGTGCTACATGTGAGGGTCACCATGCACATGATGACATAACTGTTGAAACAACCTCCAATGATCTTTGATTCAGTCCATATTAGACAAACAAAAAAATAGGAAATGTGTTAGAGAGCCTGATCTTACAGAATTTATTTTAACACAAAAGTTTAAACCATGTGAGAAAATCATTAAAAATTCCCATTTGAGACAACCATTGAGAAAGTAAAGACTTGCCTCCACAGTAAGCTCTGAGCAAGTGGGTGTTCCTCAAACCCTGGAAATAGAACAAACTGTATATCATAATGAGAAGACTCAAGAAACAGGTCTAAAAGTTTGTCTTGAGTATACAGTCTAAAGAGAATGCTGAAATACCAAACAAAAATGAAACCTAGATTTCTTTTTAGCTAGCATTTATATTACGCAAGCCAATCTTAATGACAATACTGCAACATGATTCCATTTCCTCTGGTCATTATCACAAAAAAATTAATTAATTAAAGACTAAAAAAGAAAACAACAAATAACTTACTACAATATTATTAATGTTGATGTCACACTCACAGCCACTATGGAAGGATAAGAAACAGAAGAAAAATTTGTTGTTTGTCTATAATGATATCAGCAGCTATTGATTGAAAGCTAAATCTTCTCTGGATGAGGGTTAGCTTGTAAAACAGAAGTGTATAATATGTACACTGTATTTTGGACCCTCAGTATAAACATGTACTAACTTGTTATAAGCATACAGAGCTCTTACCTGATCATATCCTTGAATTTCAAAATTGGTACACTTGCAGGAATAACTGCACATCTACTAAGGAAAGCTGTTGAACAATTCCGATATGTGAACTGTCAAGAACTATTTGCATACAAGAGATACAGGGACAGTATGATCCCATTTTACAAAGTAACGAGGCAGTTTCATGATGGTTTTGTTGACAATGACACATACAAGTAGGAAAGCTGCAACTTCCATATACATGGTGACATATCATACAAAAAATGTTTTTAATTCCTATAGGAGACTGTGTATTTGATTACTCACTGTTTTTAGGGTCATTGTCCAATACTCTCTGAATTTTCCTCAAAATTGGCAGAGCTTCTTTCCGGTTATTTGACTACAATCAAATTGGATTCACAACAATTTATTAGAAAGGAAATTAAGAGAAGAAAATCATAAGAGAAACTTAAAACCACCCATTCATTTACATGATCTCACCTGCTGTAGATGTTTTAAAATCAAACAGAAATCAGCATCACTAGTATTACCACCAAAGCCATTGCTTGACGAGCCACAAAGATGTAAAGAACAACCTGGAAAAGAGAACAGGCTCAAAATTGATCTTAACTTAACTCTTTTTTACCCAAGATCTACATAACAATTGACCCTATTGTTTATCATTCTTTTGTTTAATTGCAGCTCTGACAATTTGTTTTCTAATCAAATAGTATCCTCATCACCTTACTACTAGAAGGTGTGTTGATCAGGTGAGGAATCTTCTGGCTTATTACCAAGATTAATAAATTCCCTGTTTTGTGAAATGTCTTGATCAAAAAACTTACAACATGAAAAGCTAAAAGTAGAACAGGCTTTCAAATAAGTGTAAACCACCCAGTACCAAGAAAAAGTGCAAACAAAGACTATTACTCAAAAACCTCAATCTCATAGGGGGGCTTGTTAGAAACTTCATTCCCTAAAGAGGGGGAGAATCCATTACATATGAAATTTACAGTAAATACAGTGGAAAGTCCAGTAATGTACATGTACCTGGAAAAAATGGTGACAAAGTTCTTTCTAGAAAAGATTTCAACTTTAATTTCTTTTGTAGTGTCTCAACAGTTTGCACACATTTCAAGGTTTCCTCTTGTATCTCTTGGGTAAGCTGAAACAAGAAAAATCATTACTGCCAACCACTAAAGGGTTTTTTTTTTTGTTAACATTGTGGTGTATGACCCATAATGTGTGTCATAGGGGATTGTTTCACTATTCAGTATATAAATCTCTGTTGAGTTTTCACATCTTACTCAAATTTTGGGTACAGGACAACCCTGTATGCTACAAATATGAAAGTGTTGGGCTGTTGGGATATCTATTAAACTGCATGTATTTTCTACCTTGTTTACAGAGCAACAGCATCAAAAAACTTTTTTTCTTTCAATTATTATACATGTAAGTTAGAGTTTAAGATGCTGTACAGGTGTAGCTTCAATAATTAGGTTTTAATTTCATTCTGATCGCTTAAACTTCACGAGGTTCAACACAATTGAATTGTGAAAAATTTGTCTCTCACCACAAAATTTCTGCTTAGCCAGTGAGTTGTGAATTGTCACGGCACCACATACCTGCCTGTATACATGTACGCTGTAACTTCACAAATGCATAAATCCCAATTAAATAACCCTAATTTAGTGAACAATAATTAGGTGGTCACTCACACTCCAAGCAAAATACTTACTGTTTCCAGGGTAAACACAGGGGGTTCTACTTCAAACTGCTGAAATCTTAATGACCTAGCAGTATTATTACATGTTGCTTGGGAGGTACTGTAATATCTTTTCACTCGTTTGGTTATGACTTCATCTTGAAAGTCTGGAGTTACAGTGGAGTGATGACGACGTTTAGGTGGTCTTCTCCCAATACTTTCTCTACTCAAGCTGTTCAGTGTCTTCCCATGACTTAAGCTTATTGTTCTTTGCTCATTAGTGACATTCACACTGATTGCTGCGTGATCTGAAGAAGTTGCTGTGTTTGTACATTTAGAGGTTGAAGAATTAGAGTTCGTGCTGCTTCTGTCATTATACAGAGCATAATTGTTTGACTTATATTCTGTTGGTCTAATAACTGTAGATTGCTTTGGGGTTTTCCGGGTGAATGCAGGTAGATCACTATCCTTAGGCTTCGGAAGGTATTTCTCAAGATCCATGAATGATGGAGTGTATACTGACTGTCTCTGCCAGTACTGCCCATTTCTTTTGCCTTTACCAAAGTTTGCCATTGTCTTGATTACATTCTAACAAAAAGCAGAACTAATTATCAGTTATTTACATTTAAGTGATATGTTTTTGCATGCAGAACAGTGCTTGCATGCATGCCCCACATATTTAACAAAATGCTTAGATTTCCCTTGCTCTAAATACATGTATCATTGCAGTTAGTTAATTATTGATCACATGGCCTTGAACAAATTTTGTTTCCTCTCGAGTTTTGATGTGTCGAAGTTTTTCTCAGGAACCCCTGACACGACAACCAAAAACAAAAAAAACAAAAAAACTTACTGTTTCCCTTACATGGCATGCTTAAAAGTTACTTACCGTCCTCATAAAGAAATTAATACAATTAACCAAATGTTCTTGCTCTACTGAGCACCTTTGAAATCATATTTCAACAATAACTTGCCTCAGCCTCTTTGACAAGTAATATGAATTAAACGACGAACTGGTCTCTATCTCTAGGATGTAAACATTTCTTGTAATTTCACCAAGTTTTTTACCTTAAATGTATCAATATAGCATGTTAGTACATGAGTCATATTCAAGTTTTCAAGGGTATGTGGAAATATAAAAATTTCAGTTTCTTAAGCCTTTGAACTCTAAGAGTGACCAGCATCTAGTTTCTCTTTACAATAATACTGTTGAATCATTCATGTAAGATCATGAGAATACGGGAAATGATCACCAACTTAAGAAGCTCGATTGTTAAACAAATTCTCCTTGTCAGTAACTTAGGAAATGTACAGATAACGGCAAGGAGATTATGCATACTGATGTTAGGGTGTAAATGATTAAGGACGTGGAATACGTGTAAGAGTAATTTTCAATACAATGAAATGACTCTTCCGTTTGCACGACTGTAAAACTACACATACAGTGTGGAAGACATGTGGTGAGCTAGACCATTTGGTTTAATACACAGAAAAGTAAGAAGGCGAGCACGATTTCAGACTTGAATGCTCTCTTATAGCATGAGTAAACACTTACGACTTGATGAACACAACGAAGGTTAACGTTAAAGGCATGTCAGAATTTTTCTACGAACAAAGCCCTGTAATAAAGGCAGCACTACCTGACACTTACATCTGATATTTGCATTTCACCTACACTAATCTATATTCTTACCTCATTACGCGACAAAAACTAGATGAAAACTAACTGCAGCCATATCAACTTTCAATGCGCGTGTAATATTTGACAAAATACCGCTGGCGCAATGTACAGTCTGAAGCAAGGAACGGAACCTCTAAACGAGGCTAAGACCAGGGTTGCGCTTAGGGGCCTGGGATGGAACGAAAGAGAACTGAAAGGACTCAAACGGCGATTTAAAACTTCTCTGTCGACAATGATTGTGCGCTGCTTTACTTGGAACAACGTTGAAGAGAAAAGGAGGCCAGCGAGCCCATCTTACTTGAAATTTTATGGTATGGGGCGTAAAACCCAGAGACTGGTCGAGACTCAACGGTTTCACCTTTGCTCACCGGCGGAAAGTTGAAATTAAGTTATTACTTTTATATTTACCTTCATTTTAGCAGATTATGTTGAGACTCAAAAGAAAAAAAGGGAAAAAAGGGAGTCAGTCAGTCGAGCAGTGTTTTTATAGCAATTAGCAGAAAAATCAGACAAGAGAGCGCTGTGGAGAAGCGAAAAGAAAAGGGAATTTAACCAACCACTCCTAAAATATCCAACAAATGAAACTCAAAACGAAAAAAAGTTGTCAAGGTGGTGGCTCGTGACGTCCAAGTAAAATGATTTTGACCTTCTATAACCTAGAATGAAGCACTTCCTTCATGATCGATCTCGTTATGACAAAGGAAAATTGAAACGTTATTTAGAATGGCTTTATGTGCCCTTTTTAAACTTCCAATCCCAATTCCATCGCTGGTAAGATCCCTATCCTTCGCATATTTTCATCCCTCTCGACTAAAGCCTCCCTGATCATTTGATTTCGGGCCTCGGCGCCGCGGTAGCCTAGTCGAGCCTATCGATCAGTCACCGCTTTCTAAGAAAGGTAAAGAGGAAAAGAAATTTATCTTAAGAGAGTAATCAAAAGGAACGAAGAAGGGGAGGGGGGGGGGATTATCCTTCTTCTTCCTTGCCCCCACTAACGCTGAGTCAAACGAGGCGATTAATAAGGAACTTAAGGCTCGTTAACATGCTGCCAATTGAAACGCAACAAGAGTGACGCAGGTTCCTGCGGTACGAGCTTGAGAACAAAATCAACTTGCAAATTATTTAGACGAGTGAGTATGCCCCTTGACCTTATTAGCGTTTCGCTTCACCTCAACATATATCGTTAGAAGGAGGAGGTTGCCAGTATAATCACCACGAAGTATCGGTGATTAAGCGGATGTAGGATATTACTTTAGGAAATACTTTTTTTCCCTAAGATGTACAGTGATTTCTTTCTTCACATCACTATCAACATATCACGGTGAGATTGAGCATAGAAGAAAACTTTGACTCCTGAATGATCTTCTTTTGAGCTTGACAATTGTCGAATGTACTTATGGTAGCAAAATTTAAGATAGGAAAGTTCATTTCATCTTCGCCGGTCACTTTTGGCCGGCTGCTGACATTTCAATATTCCCAATGGCGTGGCACATTTAAAGGAGGGGCCGGGGATGAAAAACTGAGGAGGGAGTGGGAACGGGTTATTGATGAGGACATGGAAGAACAAAACACCAGCGATTAATGCTTAAATGGAAGTTTAATGTGATCACTCTACATGCAATTGCAAGCGACAGAGCCGTCGCTAAATATGGCTGACAACCGTTCGGCCTAACTTCTTCTATACTACTCACTAAAGTTTACGATTAACACCTTTTTAATGTGCTGCACCTTAATAAACCAAAGAAGCAAAAAACCAAAACAAAACAAATAATGAAAAAGAGCTTAACACATATTCGACGCTCATGGTTATTTTAGTCTACTCCAACTTAAATGCTTTTGCTTAAAATGATTGATAACTGTGCATAATATGAAGGTTCATTCAGGGCAATTTCACGGTCAGTAGGCCTGAAATACACAAAAATAAGACAAGTTAACAAACGGCTTAAGTTACCGAGTAAATTCATGTGACGTGTCAAAGTAAGATGGCCCCTTTTTTAACGAGCTCTCAAAGAGAATATGGATCCTTTGCCTACAAGATGTTTTTGCATTCCAAACGTAGGTAGTCTATGATTTCCAAGGTAGCCAATAAGTCAGTTACACGAATGAAGCTAACGTTAATTTCCATTTGTTTCCTGAAAGTAAGACTGAGATGGTACCCTGGCATTTTTTTAATATTGTAGTTTAGTCAGTGGTACACTAGCTAAAGAGCGTACGACGCTTAGTAGAGGGCGCCTTTTACTCTGAACCTGTCCTTTTCACTCTTCTTAATTTTCGACGGTCATCCACGAAAATTGCTTAAACAGCGAGTTCACCTCTCCCACTTCCCTTCTCTTTTATCGATCTCGGCTAAGTACCACTTTAGTCAACTACGAGTAACGTTTATTTTTATTCTCTCTGCCCCGCTTTCATAAACATTATCTGTAGATATGACTTGGAATGCGGGGCCAACTGACCTTAGAACTATGAGTTGATACCATTAAATGTCTTACCTTTTTTCTAAGCTTTGCATGGTACTGTCTTGCAGACGGTCTTTCCCTTTCCAACCATATCAGGGACACAAGAACATTCTCTGCACTGTGCAGTGTCATGCTTCAATTGTTTAAAAATGCTCTCCAAAATCCTTTGCATTTGCCAGGAAGATGGCTTAGCTTTTGGTCCCTCGAAAGCGGGCTTCAGGTTGATACCTACACCTTGTGTTTCAGTAACAACCTGGATGTATTCGTCATTTTCAGGTGGTCGGTAGAGTTTTATAAGTGACTTCGTTTCGGCTTTCGAAATTCCTTTCTTCAAGTAGGCATTATTGAAAGTGTCTATTGCAATGGCATTCTTAATCCTAAATGAGAGAAGCAATTGAAAGAAATAAATAAAGAATAAGTAACTAGTAAAGTCATTAAATAAGGGCAAATAAGGGTTAAATCCCCGAAATTTTTTTCTATCTGTGAAGCGATTGGGTTCCGTTGACCACTCCAAGAGGATGTGGCAGAATATGAGAACGTCAATTGCAATAAGGTGAAACTTCGGATACATAGGTGACGAACAAGTGAAACTTGTTTCACTGAGCGTTTGATCAGCGCGCCAACCTATCAACATTAAAATTGGACAGAGTGATCACGTTAAATTCTCCTTGCACTTGATCTATTAACTTTACGCAACTAGCAGACCCTAACGACAAAAAGAGGTTAATCTATCACCACCCCATTCAATTAGCAAAACTTATCAAGGTTTTGTACAGTTGGTTATCGACAGCATCGCGCTTTTAAGCGTTCCGGGCGACTTCATCAGCCACAAAGCCAAAATTCTGTTACATATAAAAATATCCACAAGTTACTTACGGGAACTTCCCGATCAAGACAAGTCTGGCACCGATATCCTTTAGAGCCTTGACGACTGTTTCACTGGAAATGTTACTATGATTGACTCGGATGCTGTTCGTGACGAGGACAATGAGCTTGGAGGCAGCAGGTCGGAATGGATATTCGGCAGCCTTCATCAAGCCAAGATAGCCATCGCTTTCTGGGAATTCCCTATTGCTCCTGAAAATTGAACGATACAAATCTCTTAAGACATGTGCGCTATTTTTATCTGTATCTGTTTGTTTTTATCCTTCAAGCCTTTCAAGTCATTTTTTCTACCCGCCTAAAATGTTATTGTTTCATGAAAGGTTTGAATGCACGATTTTCAGACCCTGTGTTACGGTGGGCATCCATTTACCGAACTGCACCACTTGCATTTTTCATGGGATAAGCAGCCGTTCAATCCGTGTTTCAATGGCAAAGTGTCTCCAAGTGTCTGTTTTCTCACCAAAGTTTTTTTTAGGTCTCTTAAAAGCCACGGAAAGCCTGTCTAGCCAGGTTCTACACTAAGCTCATTTGCCCTTCACCAAGTACGGTTTGCAAGGATTCAAATCTAACCTTGGGACGAATCTCATGTTCCTGATGACATCAGTTGTGAAGTATTTGGCGCTATTAAAGAGCTGACCCTTAATAGTATGCTCATGACCGGGCCTGTGCACTGGCACTTTACCGCTGAACCCCACAAGACCAAACTGCGGTGACATCCCCCTTTTCTTCAAATATTGGTCGATCTGCTGCGTAAATGAAGGTAATAGAGCGGCCACAGGCTCCATATCTTCACCCTCGCTGCACACGAAAACAATGTCCACTTTACTCGAGGGTTTCTCTTTCCATGTCGAGTTCTTCTCATGCATGTTGCTTCCAACTTCACAAGATGCTGTGGACAAAAGGAACGAGGTGACCAAAATACTCTCTCAACAAGATTAAAGTGGGACTGCTGTTTCCGAGGTCACTGACATTGACAATTTGAATACCGGGCCGAGCAATGAATTCAAACCAAATTATTCCCCGTGGTTGCTTGCTTTAGCCGTCAAACCTCCTCAGCAGTAATTCATCAACAACTTGATTTAACCCTTCATTCACTATAATATCACTATCACTGAATAATTTTTTTGATTTACTGTGGTAAAGGTGGTTTCGCTATAGAGTGAAAATCAGGGCACTCAAACGATATAAAAAGATTGAAAAGAGACTGCAAATTCTTGGAATTGATAGGAAAAAGAACCACAGACGTTAAAAGAAAGACATGAAAAAATGCTGAAATATACCATTATCCCTTTTGCAATATTTCAATGCTATACACAAAACTGCGAGGATAATACTACTAATAATAATAAGTCAAAAAATTTAGTTCCTTATCACTTCTGGCTAGTGGATTGTAATTTTAGGTGCAGTCCGTTTCGAAAGAAGAAATTTTCAGTTGACGTGTATATGTTTATATCTGTGTAAATACCAAATAATGCGCAAGGTTCGATAGACGTAACCTAACTCTGGCGGATCTTATATTCACATGTTTGTTTTGTAGAAGAGCTTATAAATAAAAAAAAAATCATTCGAAAATTGAGAGATAAGGATGAAATATTGCACCGAATGCTCTACTGACTTGGTGGGTTGAAGAAGAAAGAAGGGGCGAGGCGGTTTGTTTTCTGCGGATTAAGGACAATCTTTTCTTTCGTCCCTACGGTGAAAAAACTATTCAATTTGTCACAAAAGTGAAGAATATCGAACTTACTGCATTCGTCAGGCAGAGAAACCTCAATTCCATGTCGTTTACATTGTCGGATGTAAGCTGCCGTCACATTGCAATGCAGGGTTCTCACCGGTGCAGAGACGTCACAATCCTTGTATTCTGCTTTGCATGCAGCTGCAAAGTCGACTGGATTAACCTGAAATTGGAGAACAGGGAAGCTCAGAAATGTTGCCAAGTTAAGGTACAGAATGCAAATAATGAAACGTAAGAATTAAGATACCAGCGATGATTCGAATCCGACGTTTTAACCTTCTTTTCACCTTGGTTTGCAAGACAGCGGTTGTTTCTCACGATTCCCTTTGAAATTTACGTCAACGGGCAGAACTGAACCCCTCATAGCGTACATGCCCTAAGTTTGAACATCATCATGAAGTCCTCGGGGACTTCATGTAGACATCATGAAGTCCCCGAGGAAAACTCTAGATAATGTCTAGATAATTCCGCTATAAGAGCGCCACAGCTTTTTGCAATAGTAAGCACTTTGTTGGCTCTTATTTAAAGTAGTTAATATAATCTAAGTATCCATGCGGAATTTTATGATAAGGTTAAAGAATGTCCAGTTTTCAAAGCATTATTAACATTTTCACGAATCTGAATAAGAATGTTTATTGCCGTTGTTGTGTATCCTAAAAAAAACCGTTGTAGAGATGCATTCCACTTAACAACTTCTAGCGAAACTAGTGATATACCTCTGAAAAGCATTTGCTAAGCGGCGAGGACTTGTTTAGGAAGAGCTCACTGCAGCGTTTTATCGCTGACTCGTCTCTATTGCAAGGTATTTGTTTCACTTCGATACCAGGTTTCACATTGCAGTCACCGGCCACACGCCACGAGCTGACGAAGTCGGAAACTTGAGTTCGATTCTTGCCATTTGGAGATATCCAGTCATCACTAGGTTCACCATTATTAGTACCAAGGATACCTGAGTTCAAAGGAAAATTACTCATTCATTTCTGAAGAAAAGCTCTACTTCTTTATCTAGTTTCGTTACCAGTCCTTCATATATCCACAAGCCACATTAAACTTAGACAAGAGGAAAAACAATCCGGCAAAGACATGAACACGTCAGTAATGCATTGCGACCTGGGTTCCTTTTTCACGATTCTGATCTGCTTCAATAGAATGTTTCTATGTATCTGTCGTTTTACAAAGTAAATCAATGTTGACATACATTTGAAGGTTGCAGGTAATATTGAAGCCTAACTGTTCGGCAGAAAATTAGATGTAGTTCTGAGGAATGGTGCTGTCAAGATTTATCAAAATTTTATTTCCATCTCGTCATGGTGCCAAATCGAACCACGTAAGTCGATTTCGCGTTATGCGTTTATCGGCTTGCCCTACCAAAAAACTAACTCTACTGATTACATTATTTAAAAGTCTCATTACATACCAGCCGTTCTGTTATGATAGAATCCAGACACTTCGTAACTGCACACGAAGTGCTCCATATCACACTCGACAGAGAAGCCAAAGTCATTGGTCAAATTGATGAATGGACCATCTCGTACAATAGTTGTGTTCTCGAATTTCACAGGAAGCTCCTTAAAGAAATCGCGCGTCAAACCGTTTGTTTTGTCCATCCCGGTGATTCCTTGGGAAATGACCTCACCATTGCGGTGAAGATTCACTAAAGCATCCTGTGTGATGATGACGATAACCTCAGGCGAAGAAAGTATGGTGAAGTTTCCGTCCTTGAAGTCACGGCTCACCAAATACTTACAGTTAGATCCCTTAATCCAAGGGAAGCGGAAGTAACGCTTGTCAAAAGTGTAGATATTCTTTCCGAAGATCATGCCAGTTTGGTCTAGTTAGGAGATACGTGAAAAATGCGCAAGTTAATAAACAGCAGGTTTGGTCAAAGGGTTATCAAGAGCTGCGACTAATTTTCTTATTCGCGCCTGAACAAAAGTATTCAAAACATCATTGCAAATTGAAGATCAGAAAATCAGTCATAGAGAATTTTGAACAATTGACACAGTTACTGGTCAAAGGAGGCTGTGTCCAGCAAATGTTTTCTTGAAAAAAGGTGACGTTTATTTTGCGTCACAACGTTGTAAAGGAAGGGTTCTTGTTTATGACCCCTAGATAAGAGACGGCGGGAATCCAACGCCACGCCATAGGACTTACTTTTCGGTTGAAGCATCTCAACGATATCCTCTGGTTTCAGCTCATTAAGGGCCTTCAGTGTCCTCCATGTCGTAATTACAGGTGAGAGGGTCTTATTCACGTACTCACGCAAAGTCTGGTCCAGCATGCACATGGAGTAGTTGAAGGCGTGATCCGTGATATTCATGGTGAAGTTCATCAGATTGAAGTAGAAGTATTTTGGGAGATGTGCATTGTGAAAAATCGTCTCATTGACCAGCGAGCCATTAACAAAGCTGGCCGTAGAGTTAACCAGAGTGAAGGTGAAGTTGTAAAAGGTCTGCGTCCAATTTGTGGTAATGTTAACGGCCAACACTGTGAAGTTGTAGGTGCCGTTCAAGATGAATTCTGTCGCGTTTCGGGTGGCATTTAGAGAGCAGGCGGTCATGTTAATGTAACCTTCAGCCCAAAGATGGAGGAACTGAGTGTAGTTTATCCGCATGTACATGGGGTAAGTGAAGGAACTGTTCATCTGCTTCTGATTCAGAGTGGTGTTAGATGGGAAATTTCGGAGGAACCACGCTGTGACATAAATGTCACTCTCTATTGGCTCAGCTGTGTATCGAACCACTCGTGGGAAGTAGTATCGGGTGTAATTTTGCCAACTGTGGTTTCGCATAACAGTTATCACTTCCAACATAGTTGAGTTCCACTTCTTCAGAACTGGACGGGTCCAAGGCATACTGTCAAAGGAAGATGGCAATCAAGATTGATCTTACATTCAACTTAACAGTATACTCTACGATTTTAAGTCCTCTTCGTCTAACCTATAAAAGATTGCATGAGAATCATGTTCTGTACAATGCAACTTACTCTTAAGAGTGGTCCATCTAGAAAGTTTTTCTTCGTACAGTATCTATTCCCACTATCATTATTTTAATACCTGTGGGTCCAGTTGTGATAGTGAGCCGTGAAATTCAACATTTCCCATGATTTCTGTGGAGGTTCGCTGAAATTGGTTGCAGTGAGGATCTGGACTGTCATATTCCAAAGTTGAGATGTCATATTGTGAGTGCGATTGATGTAGAGCTCGATAATTTCTTGAGTGGTCTTTAAGCTTGTCACGTTCAGGACATTAACGGTGTCATTAACTAAAATAACAGCAAGGTCTGTGACGTTCACCAGCCACTCGTGGCTACGGTTCATTCGGCAAGCCGGGGATCGGACCGTTGCGTTGTACATCTCAAGAGTTTTATTTAACAGGCCTTCGATGGCTTGGTACAAGGTGGCGTCAGAAGTGATATTATGGAAGGACAGGGTGATGTTCATTGGATAGTGAAGCGATGATAGGAACCATTCGAAGGATGAATCGCAGATGGTCCAGTTGTGGAAGAGTTCGTAGGTTAAATTGAAAACACTGATGTCAGCCACTTCGGTAAAGTTCTGCCAGACTGGGTACGCGACTCCTCCAAGGAATGAAGAATTGTTGATATATCCTGTTATGTTGACGAGTATTTGCCTGGAGATGCTGTATAACACAGGGTGCGTGACATTCAGGATGTACTCAGTAACATTGTGGGTGAAATTTCTAAACACCAAACTCACGTTGACCATAGCTTGAGTGAAGTTGACAGTTTCATTGAGTATTTCTATCGTAAGATTTTGGACACCAGGTAGGTAAGTTTTTAGGTAGTAATTTACTGTCTTGTTATTAATTGTCCAGTTTCCAATCTCGCTGACTGTTCTATTCAACAACATAGTAAAATTTTTCGAAGCGTTTCTTCCCCACTCAGTCAAATTGAAAATAAATGTTTCACATGTTTGATTGTACCATGTCGTGTTCGCAATGATGTTCGAGATGTGTCCCAGAAAAGCAGTGGTATTGACATGATCGGTGAAGTTCTGGAGAATCACGATCAGCTCTTCCGTAATATTTTCCAGCGTAACATTGCTTTCTTTGATCTTCAGAATAGTATTTGCCAGGTTGTTGTAGAAGAGTGAATAGTTAAATGTGTCGCCTTGGAAGTACCTTTGGTAATTTACGGTGACGTTAGGGATGCTGTGGGAGGTGGTATTAAGTAGATGTATGGTGAGATTAAAGAGATTCTGGGCGATATTTTCTTTGGTATAATTCCACAGCAGCATCTCCTGAGTGATGTTCTTCAAAACGTATTTGAAGTGTGTTCGGAACTTGGTCATGTTTACTCCAGCCAACGTTGCGTTTAGAGTAATGTTCGCCAGCTTGGTTGGTATGTGGAAAGTGAGATTATTCAAGGCGCTCCATTCGTATCTTACAGATGTCATGTTCAATACGTCGTATACGGTGTTGTCACCTCTAACCTCTCTGCTCCACTCTACATACATTTCACTGCCGTTAATTCTGTAAATGGTGTTGTTGAAGTGCGTGTCGTTGAGTGAGAACATCTTGAGGAACCAAGTAACGTTCCTTGAGGTGATATTGAAATAGGAGACTCTCTCTGTGGCGTTGATGGACCAGGTAATGGAGCCATTAAATGCCGTTTTATTGAAGTGATGCCATGTGCTCAGATTAAAGAAGGCACTGTGGGACTTATTACATGTCTTGGTCACAAATTCGATAGTACGGTTCCATAAGGTTAAGTTGGACACCACGCTCATGTTGCTCACAAATCCATTCCACAGAAGGGTGTTGTTGTAAACCGTGGCGTTTGCGTTTGCTCTGATGCTGGTATTGAAGGTTCCAGAGCAGTTTAGACTGAAAGAAACGTTTGGCAGGAAATCGATGGAGACATTAACCTGACTGATTTCTTTGTTCCAAACAAATGTTTGGTTGAGAATTTTCTTTGGTTGGTACTGCAAAACGGATGCCAAGTTGAACACCTTGGAGGAATTGGTCAAGACACCCATCCAGCTGACTGTCCTGTTTGGAGTGTAACCAGTGATTCTAAGGATGTGATGAACCATCTCAGTCGTGGTCTTATTAACCATGTTAACTTGTGCTCCATAGGTACGGTTAGTGAAGGTGAGGTTGACAATGAGGTCCTTTTTCGCGGTAGTATTGAAGAAAGTGAAAACGTATGAGGCATTCATCCAGGAAGATGTACCGTTCCTGATCCTGTGCGTGATATTAATGCTGCGAATTTGATCAACCTCCGGCAACATTTCAGTGGAGAAGTAAGTATGATTTAACTCTGCACTCCAGTTACCCATGGACAGGTTGAAATGGAGATTCCTAGTAGTAGTGGTGTTTGAGTAAGTTGCTGTCATGTTGAAAATTGTCCTGTTCTGGTAGGTGCAGTTAACCAAGATTCCTCTCGCTGTCGGTTTGGCGAGCCAGGTTGTGTTCATAGTGGCAGTTGAGTTGAGGCTGGTAATGTTCAAGATCAAGGATTTCCTTTCAGTAGCATTAAAATAGCTTAAGCACGTTGACAATAGAGTGAAGTTATGGTGAGTTCCGTTGAAATAGGCGCTGTTGAAGCAGAATCCCTTCTCCAAGGTGTAGTTCTTCAAAGAGCCTGACAGCACAACTGAATGGTTTAAATAGGTGATGTTTAGGCTGACATTTCTAACCTCGTGATTGTACATCCAGGTGGTGTTTAATGCGATTGATCTATTCTGGTGAGTGATATTCAAATGACAAATCTTGATACTGTCGGTTACGTTCGTCACAGTCATGTTCAGCGAGGAGGTCCTGTTGAAGGCTGTGGCGTTGCAGAAGAAGACAGTGATGTTTTTCTCCGTAGAGTTACGATATGCCTTATAACAGGACAGCACCTGGGTCCCGTTGTTGAATACGTTCACATGGGTCTTGTAGAAGCTTGTAGTATTGACGTAACTAACGTTTATTGTGATGTTATTGTTCAGAATCGGTGTGCTCCACGTTGGGCAGCTGACATTCCAAGTCACATTCGAGGTACGAGTAGTCATGTTATGTTGGCCGCGCAAGTGCAAAGTCAGGTTGAGCGGGCGGTGAGTAATGTTTAGTGTCATGTTACCTGTCGTGTTTCCGTTGAGGTTGATGGAAGTGTTGAGGTAAAGAACGGAGATAGGAATGCTCTCTGTGGTGTTCTTAACAGTGATATTTGTTTCCAAGTGCCACTTGTGCGTGTCATTCATCATAAAGAAACTGTGGTGAAAGGACTTGTTGAAGAGAGTGGCATTCATTGCCAACCCATACTTGATTTTGTGTGTCTTGTGGCAGGTGCGGTGGAAGTAGAAAGCTGTGAGATTCCTTGCCACATTGAGAGTGATATTAACGGCTTTGGAGATGGGAACGAAGATATAATCAATCGTGGTGGCGTTCTCGTGGTCGGCACCAACGCTTATATTCCAGCGATACATCTCTTCAGTTTTGTTAGAGGTGATATTGCAGAAGAACCTCCTTTCGTAGCTTGCTCCAGGAGTAGAAACGGAAATGGCCGTCTTGTTCGTGTGTTTGTCTGGCTTCGTGAAGTTGACCTCCATTTTTAAGTTTTTCAGTAATGGATCGGTTCTGTTTAAGTAGATGGAGAAGTTGGAAGGACCAGTAAGAGGGAAGAATGGAGCAGTTTTATTGTACCAGGCCACTGGTATGGAGATGTTGGAACACAAATTGAGGCCGAGTATCTTAGTACTGTTGAAAATGTCGGTGGTGCAGATACCAGTCTGAAATGAAAAATCGATAACTTCCTTATTTTCTCAAAATAGTAACTTAAGGTATGGCAGTTGCCCATCATTCGAATTTTTATTTATAAGACGAAAACATCAAAAGCAAATGAAACTAGGTTCTCCTAACCCGCTGCATGAATAGTTATAAGCGGAAATTCATACCGTGTTGCGATGGTCCACTCCACGGATCGGGATCTCTTCGTTGTTGAAATGATGGAAAAGAGAAGTTCTAAAGAGGAAAGACGACGGATGATGAATCAACTTAAACGCAATGACAAATTCTATAAATGCAACTATCCCCTAGGTTACACGGGATGAAAATTAAGATCAACTGAAAAGTGAAGATGAATTTTCAGGATAACTACAACTGACAAAAATACTGAATAAATAAATTTAATGGGGTCAGATGACGCCGTGGAAAGCATTCGAGGAGCTTTGTGTCAACATCCATAAATTTATAATTATGAGCCTTCAAAATGGAGCTCGAATTGGGGTCAACGCAACATTATGTGACGATTTTGTTCTATATAGTGAAGTTGCGTCATAGACCTTACAATCGGTACTTTAAACAGACGCTACGACGGAAAGTACGTGATAACAAAATAAAAAGGAGGGCTATTGTTCTTACGTGATGTTCAAAATCTCCTGTGGCTTGTCGGTGACATTGAAATGTGACTTTAATCCTTGCTCCTGACTGTAGGTTAAATTTCCTTGTAATTCGGTGGAAGTGGAAATTGAACCATTCAGAAGAACGCCTGTTGATAGGTGGAAGGCATCTAATGTAACCTTTCCAGAGATCACGATGGCAGCACTATGGAATGATAGAAGAACGAAATGAATTAATTTAAACAACAAACAAATTTATGATCGATGAAATTCCAGTTTAGGTTTATACCAAAATAGCAAACGTTAGCCTAAAAATGCGTATAACTCTTGTATCATTTGGCTGCTGTTAGTACATTTTGGACCTCAGGATTATCCCTTTTTCAAAGACCTCCCTTAATCAATATTACAAGTAGATTTATAGTCACTTGAACTAAAATTTAGGATGATACCTCCTAAAAGTTGACGAATACTTCTTTTCGTTACCTTGGCTTTACAGTTCCTTTGACAACAGCCTTCTTGTTACCCCAGAAAAGGCTCAATAGGTCAGCCTTTCCTTGTACGTGCACACTGGTGACAGATGTACCATTGATACTTAGGTTCAGCGGTATTCCAAGGCATGTCGGAATGATATGAGTCTCTTCCAAGAACAGAAAACTTTTGGTGAAAGTCTTGTCAACTCCTTTTGAAAGAGCTCGCAACAGTTCGATCAGATCAGCGATGGGAATATCATCATCCTCCAACCATTCGAGATCCTTCAATCTGAACAAGTCAAGTTCATTGCCAAATAACTTCAGAGAAAGAAGACCACTGGGCGTCATCTTGCGAAGGTTAACCTGCGTTAAAAATAACATAAGTAAATTTAGTCTTTAAACATTTATTGTACTCTAGTACCCGTATCCAAACATTACTTTTTCTCTTAACGAAATTTAACATCTAGCACATAGCTTTTGACACTTATACGAAATGATTTGATACAGAGAAACAAGAATGAACTAAAATAAAAAGCAAAGAAGAATGGATGAATAAAAGTAATTCCTGAGCAAATTAAGTCAAAGAGAGAGGTATTACTGTTTCTTTTTTTAAGATGCCTTAATCTTTTCGCCATGGGAAGCAAAAAGATGGGAAGCCTGTACTTTAGCTTGGCCTTCCCGAGATGGGATGCCTCTCAATTCACTGTGCCCCACTGAAGCTGTTCTCACCTTCCTATCAAGAGTTTCCAAGTCAATTTCGTTGTCTACACTCCTCTTCTGAATTTCTCTGGCCTCGTTTTCGCTCTTCTCTGGTGTTTTCATGAGCCCCGAGATATGACTGTCAGGAAAGTACCCTTTGTGTCCAAAAAGCTTCTCCCAAATGATCTCCAGGCCCTCAAGCCTTGTGCTTGTCTCGACCACCGGGATAGCCCCGCCCCATAGGTCAAGGGTCACATTGAGTTCTGCGCTTCTCGGGACAAGGCTCTCCGGGTGGTAGATCACATGACTTTCTGTGCTGAAGCCCAGATTACTTTCCTCTAGAAGGAAAAAGAAACAAATCAAATTGTAGGAGTTCAGTTGCATACATAACAGACAACAGGAGCAATAAGAGGAAAAGATTCCGTTTATGTATAGTGGACACTCACCATTCAAATAACTTTTCTGTAAGAACTGCGACTTGTAGGTGGTGTTGAAATCACGCAGAGGGGTTGTCCGCTGTTTCAGAGCTTTCTTGATTAGTTCACTCAATCTATTAGAGTGTTGTTAAAAAGAGTCATCCATCATTTCAAAATTAAGGGGCACGTAGGGGCGACAACAACTGCAACTGTGTGATGTTCCCTTCTCTATATACACAAAATAAGGATTTTTTTATCCTTTCCAAACTTTTGCACCTCCTAGAGAAAAGGAACATCAGCTTTGTGTGAAAGGGTATCAAGGGGGTGTTGAACAACAAAAACTTACCTCTTGCCATAAGTGGGCTCAACAGAGTCATTCATCTGTTTGAGATGGCTGCTGACGAAGGCGCCAACCTGGGTATTGACTTCAGCATCCAGTACTTGTGCCACGTATCTGATCGTTTTTTCATCGGGATACTTCATTAAGGCAAGGTAAGCCTGCAGACGCACCTCGGGGTCATTGCCATAGTCACCAAACACCTCACTTCCCAGAGCATTCCACGTATCTGGGCAGAAAGGCATGCTTCGAATGGTCTCTATGGCAACTACAGAGATATTGAGGAAGTTGGCTCCTTGTGAGCATTTCACAAGCTCTTTTGCTTTGGAGTGCATAAGTCCTGCATTGCCAATAGCTTTTAGGGTGATAATGACGTCATCAATGTCATATGAGGTGGCCTCACAGTTCTTTGGAAGTTGCTCCTCTAAGAAGGAGACCGCACGCATCACAGCAGAGTCCTGAATACAAACAAGAACAAACACAAATTGTCAAAAAAAGAAAAGAGCGGAAAAACTGCAGAAATTCGATGTGGATTTTTATTGGCATGCACAGATGAGGTCATTATGTTAAAAGCTTTGTGATGCTTGTAACCAAAACTTACAGATTCTCTCAAGCAATCTTTTGGTGTACGTTGACAGTACTTCCGGATCATGGTTCCAAGGGAAAGTAGTGTGGTTGTGGGTAAATCACTCCTCCGTCTTAGAAAATCCTGCAAAGGTAACAAAAAAAGTATATGGTACTTTCCAGCCAAAAAAAGTATATGGTACTTTCCTAAAGGCTTACAAAAGTGGGCAAATTAAACCTTTCAAGGGAAAGAATGTATAAACAAAACCACGTGAAGACTAAATTTTTTAACGTGAGAGCAGTTGAGGAGCTCCAAGGGGCTATAAAGAAATCTTCTCGATTCAAATATAAGAAAAATGAAAAATCGCTTACGATCATTTCGTCGAAGAGATATGGAGCTGGATTTCGCGCGGCACTGATTCCATTCAATAGGTAAGCCATATGTTCAGGTTTAACTTGATTGTAGTCGCGGATGGCCTCAATTATGTATCTCAAGCACGGGGTGGTACCGCACTGGGTGAAAGCGTCAAGCAAATACGCCCTGAAAAAACAAAGAAGGAAAAAGTAATTAATGTCGACAGATTGTTGAAATGGATCTGGAGTTAGCTTTGTTTTGTCTTGCTTTGCATTTAGATTTGTACTAAAAGCTGATCGCGACCTGTAACGTTTTCCCGCGCTTCAAGAGGTCTGCTTGTTTTTCCTTTGAGGTTCTGCTGGCACTTGTGGTATTTCTGTTTTGTTTTGATTAGCAGTTACGATCACGTTGATTCCGGCCTTATGAAAACCTTAAGAGTAATATCACAAATGTACCATAAACCTTCCCCATCGCCTTATTAGTTGTTCTTTCTGATGTCACCCTTCTCCCCCTACCAAAGCCTAAGGGAAGGGGGAGGGGGTGGGCATTTGAGCATCGTTGACTTTCTACAGGGCGATTACGAAGGAGACTATTTTACTTCCCAAATTGTACTCGTAGTTCGCCTCTGTTTGGAAAGGGAATGAGGGACACGGATACTTCAAATCAAGATGGAACGGTCTCAGGGATACGTGATAATGTCACATAGCACTGAGAGGTTTAGTGGTGGATTGTAAGTAGTCAACTCAAAGATAGTTCCTTCTGTTTACTTTGAAATGAGAGTTTTAAAATTTACTCTCCTTCATAGCTTTCAACATTCCTCTACCTCTCCTAGTCTAATCCATCATTTTATTCGAAGAACCATCAATCCAAGCAACATTTGTTAATATGCAGAAAATATTTAACCCAGCGGGAGTATGTTTGGATAGAATAGAATTCTTTACGTCATGTAGAATTGTACTTCCCCCTGAGTTGTCTTAGTTAGCCCTTTGACCCCTAAGAGTGACCAGCATGTAATTTCTCCTTACCACATCATCCCTGTATCACAAATTAAGGTCAGGAGAATAAGGAAAGTGACCAAGAAGCTCTTGATTGTTAAAAAAAATTCTCCTTGTCAACCAACACAGAAAATGTATAGAGAACAGTATGGAGAATATGCATACTAATGTTAAAACAAAGACTCACTGTGATTTCTTGCACTGTTTCTTCGTGAACTCGCCTTCTTGTTGTTCATCGCAGTTGTAAAATCGAGTCCAGACATTCTTCAGAGCGTTTACGTCGAGTTTCCGGATTGAGAAGACCAAACGGGTGAATTTAGTCACCGTGCTCGGTTTGGTTTCGTTGATAGGAAGGATCTTGATCAATCCCTCTAAAACGTCCTCTGCGCTCTTAGAGGATGTCTCATAAACTGGCTCTGCCTCAGCTTTCGGCAAAGATTGCTCGTAAAACATGTTTGATTTTCTCATCTCTGTTCAAAGAGTGAAAATTATGAATTCAATTTCAAATACACAACCGCTTCTTCTACTACAAAATTAGAAAACAATAACATTCAATACTATTGATAATAATGTCGATAATAAATTTTACAAAGCCTAAATGCTCTTACAGAGTGTTAAGGGAAAGCTAAGCTTTCGTATGTAGACAACTAGAGACCGCTACACTGATATGATACTAGCAACAGTCCAATAAATTGCAGGTCAGCAGTGCGGCGCATGAACGATGAAATATTCCATATAATGGTGAAGTCATGAATGGAAAAAGATGCTGAGAATTTAAAATGACGTAGATGAGAAGGAGGCGAATTCCTTAACTTAGCGGAGGCAACAGAAAAATGGCATTCCTACTAGTCTACGCAGATACCTCTATTCGCAGCTGGTTTAACTTCAACCTAGAAATTATCCGTATTCTCACGAGAGGATTGCGCATTGGGTTTCCTACATTGCTTCCTTCCTTAACAAGCTACCGCTCATTCCCAATAAACCCAGCTTCACACTCCTCCTACCATGTCAAAATCTCTACAATAGTAGATACTAGTTTGGCTTAGGAAGCATTTTAAAAATCCCAGGGAAACGCATGGACGTAATGCATACAGTTTTCAGTACATCAGACAGTATTTGATAGGCCCCCTTCTCTTACAATTAAGCAACTCTGATAAACGAAATCTATTTTGCTTTGTAAAGAGTTCAGAAATAATTTTAGCATTCCAAATTTGAGTGTGTAGAAATTAAAAAGAGAACATTACCTGGAAATTTCATTTCGTCCGCGAAGAAGAACGTCATGCGTACCGATTCAAGGGTCAAATTCACCCTGTAAGAAATTGCGAAAAAGAAAAGTCTAACTTCCCCGCCTTTTAAAGTGCCGGCGAGCAAATGTTCTTTATTTACTATGTGACATCAAAAGAATACACGAGTCAAAATGATATAGGTAACGCACTATGTTTCCAAAGGAACACTTACGTGACATTAGTTGTCACTCCAGCCGCATTGTAGCTGAATGGTCGCAAAAGGTGTGTTTCGTTACATTCCACAGTCTTAACGTGCTTTTCACGCACAATGTAACGGCAGAAGCTTGTTGAGTTGAGAGGACCTTGTATTTGCTGCAAAAAACCACTCAAGCTCGTTACAAGCCAAAAAAAAACTATCTTGATTTCATTCCTAAGATCAAAATCTACCCTCTCTCTTATTCTACCTACCTAAACAACGCTTTAGACATTGCTCATCTTAACAGTATACAGGAAACTAGCACTGGCCTGGCTTACGCCGTAGAGTTTCCATTATCTCAGCGGTAGAGCATAGGTTTGAGGTTCGATTCCCCATGGATACTCGGCTTTTTTTTCTTTGTCTTACCCTCGTGACAGGACAGAAATTTGCCTTGCTCTCAACGTGTGGCTTCGTAGCTAGGTTGGTAGAAAGCCCCACATTGTTATATGAGAAGCAAAGGTTCAAATCCCTACGAAGCCTGAATTTTCCAGGCTTCTTTTCTGCAATTATTTAACCCTTTAACCTCTAAGAATGACCAGCTTCTAGTTTCTCCTTACAAAATCAGCCCTGAATCAAATATTGAGGCCACGAGAATCAAGGAAATGATCACCAACTTGTAAAGCTCTCGATTTTTAAACAAATTCTACTTGTCAGATGTTCAAGAAATTTATAGAGAATAGTATGAAGAATATGCATACTGATGTTTAGGTGTAAAGGTTTAAATTGCTGCTCACTTGCTAAGATCATTGTTTGAATCGATTTTCAATCCGCAGCTTAAATGAAAGTTATTTCTATCATTAAAGTTTTTGAAAAAAAAAAAAACTTTTTTTGTTACTTTAAAATCTATTATCTCTCCTAGTCTTTTTCCTTTAATCTTGCTTAGATTTGTGTTCGTTTAACTTAAGGCAATGGTTGCGCAGTGTTTATAATTTTTTTTGTAATGAACTCGTCAATTTAGAGTTTCACATCTTTATACTTATATTAGCGAGGTTTTTTTTTACTATCGACATTACCGAATTAAACACAGTTCATTCTTGATTGTTACTCACCGAGTTCACGTCATATGTAACTGGGTTCAGCTTGGTGATATTGTGTGATCGACTGGTACAGTTGGAAAGATCCCTTTTCTTGGTGATTTCGCTTTCCACTATTTGTTTGTTCACAATCTTGTATTCGGATGTACAGTTTCCTGTCACATCAACCTGAAATGTAAGAAGATATGAAAATAGATCGAAAATTTGTTATTTTCTTTGTCTATTGGTTTGTTAGCCGTTTAGTTATTGTTTTGTTTTGTTTTTCTTTGTCTCTATTAGGTAGATACTTTGATCAAAAGGATAGTTTCCACTTGAAACAACTGTGCAGTGTTTAGTTGTAATTTTGTTTTTAATTTGCTGTTGTTTTTCGTTTGTTTGTTTGCCTTTTTTGTAACCCAATGGTTGGAATGGCATTTTTACCCTCTAGCTGATTCTAAATTACTCATCCTTTCCAAATTATGGCATCCAACTGACACCGTTATTATGGCTGAGAATTACTTAAAACCACCAAGTCCACTTAAAATAAGATTTGGTTTGTTATTTACATCAGTTAGCATTTTTTTTTCGAAATTATCGCCTGTTTGTAGGAAATCTCAATTTTTTCTTGCGTTTTGGTTTTCACGTTTTTTGGTTGCAGATTTCCAAACAAAGTTGAGAGGCTCAACTTTGGTCCTTAAACACAAAAGATTGCCTTTCATGGCTTGCAGAAGTTAACTGTCTTCTCGTTGATTCCCCAGTTTTTGTTTTTTTTTTCTCGCATGTCATTGAATTAAAGTAGAAACAACACTAGCTTAAAATCTTTCAGCCTCTCCAAGGAGAAATACAATCTCTGAGCCTATGAAGAAGGGTTCAGTACTTCGAGTCAAAATTATAATTCATATGTTAATATTCCTCAGAGTAACTTTTGGTTTTAACTTTAGGACCCTGTGTTGTTGTTCACCACAATGTATAATTTTACTAAATGAAGCGTACCTCGTGAATCATTTCTTGTGGTTTTTCGCTAAACTGCAATTGCAGTGCACTCAAAATACCACGCTTGATATTGGTGATGTACACAGGTTCTGTCTTAACCGGCAGCACCATGACAAAACGGCCTCTGCGTTCTGAGAAAACCAGGTGGTTTGCCTCGAGTGCCCTCTTGAAACTTTCCTGGTTGGGGGATGATTTGAAGTCTTTTTCTCCGTTAGGTGAGGCTTCGAAGATTCTTACATCTTTCACCTGCAGATTATGTTAAAATTTTATGAATGTGCGGGGACTTCCTCGATTAAAATCTCGATTATGTGCGTTGAGGCTGTTCAAAAGAATAGATGGAATGAAAAGCCAAGTCACAACAATATCTTAACAAAAGTTCCTGTTCTCTTTTCATTTCGTCCTCTAACTGAACTCTGGAAGAACTACAAATAGTGGACTTGAAGAGCCACTTCGTGGAATATCGGTTGCTTAACCCTTTCACTCCCAAGATCTGATTGCTAATTCTCCCCTCTATCTGCTACACACTTTCTTGTGAATAAGTTATGAGAATTTAGTGTTAGATCAAAATAACAACTTCTTCCAGATGAGTTGGAGATTTCTGAAGACCTGTTTGTAGGATAATGTATGATTATTTTAGCGAAAAGTTCTCTATTAATCATTTCTAGGAGTCAAAGGGTTAATTCCCATAATTATTATTATTATTTCTTTATTATTATTACCAAGGAGACTAATTGTTAAGACTTCAACAACGCAAAATGAATCCAACAGTAAGATTCACTAATCTAGAGAAGACCCAACTTTGTAACAAGATTACAGCTTCCAAAAAAAAATTTTCCATCGTTCATCCCCCATATACTCACACTTAAGACCAGTTAAGACGTGCTCGACCAATCATATGTAAAACCTAAACTTGGTCGCTCCTATCCAGTTTATGTCCACATTAAATCAAAAAGCGCGTTAACCCTTTAACTCCCAGAAGTGATTAATATCTAACTTCTCCCAGCAATATCCATACATAATCCAGCAAAAAGGTAACGAGAATAATCAAACATATAAAGTAAAAGTTGTTGCCTTCATCTAACACAAAACTCATACAACTAATTTCTAATAAAATATGTAGTAGCTGGAGCGGAGAATTATCAATCAGAATTTGGAAGTTTAAGGGTTAATTTCATAAGTTTCAGAAACGCTCAATACTATGACTTCACTGACATCAAGTGACCAGAAAAGAAAAAATATTTTTAAAAGGCAAGAAAAGATAACAAAATAACAAACCCAGAGAGAACGGCGGCAGTCTGCTAGTGCATTGATCTCACACGTAGCCTCAATGCGAAGTCCAGTCGTTTGATTGGTTGTTCCTGTCACACCAGTCACGGTGGTAGCAACATAACGATAAGTGTACCTTTGGTTGGGCACAAATCGTGTAAATGCTGGGAGAAAAAGAAAATGTCACGTCAATACGGGTTAGTTTTACAGATCACGTGCTAATGCATTACGCATGATCACGACCCCTCCACGTGAACACTTGTCTGTCTATCTTATTCCTTGTTCCTGTGCGTCATGGTGATTGCGCACGTTTTTCAACGCATTTCCGTAAAAACAAGTTGATTTGGCCGAGATCCACAAAAAAAAGACCACCTGGATTTCTAAATTAATTAGCCCAAAAGTTCCTCTGGTAATCCTATACCTTTGATTCATGCGTTTTTTGCCCAAATTCTTCATCTCGCAACCTTTGAATCCTAACTTTGTCTTCGAAAACAAAAAAAAAGGCTTTCGTTTTTTTGTGGCTCTACAGAACTCCAAATGTAAACTATCGAGGAAATCTCCTCGTTTCAATATAACAGAAAACTGAAAGTTACCAATCGGCAATCGGCACGAATTCTTGTTTGTTGGTGTGTTTGGAGGGAAGGGGGCGTGTTGGGGGCGTGAACTGGTGCGTGTCGGGGGGCGTGTAAGGGGCGGATATTTGCTTTTTATTAATTGTAAAGCCGAAGTTTGGCACGAAAGGCTTTCAGGAGTTTGGCACGAAAGGCTATGACGAGATACAAAACGCCTCTTTTGCCCGTGAAAAGCGGAAAATGCATAAAAACACGAAGAATAAACTATTGGTTCAATTCACCCCGATTTAAAAACTAAATAAACCTTTATACGTCATGAGCTTACACGTTAAAACTTTAAACGAACAATTGTCCAGTTTTGAAATGCTTGTCTCGGCTCTTTGATCGTTCTTTTTTGTGTTGTTTATTTGTATCGTGCATTCCCTGAGTTATGGCGTGAAACAAATGTTCCTAACGCTTTGTCACGAGACTTGGCAAGAGGATAAATTCTCCTGATATATGTCAAATGTACTGACATGAATCATGTATCAAAACAATCATCAAATCTTTGACCTTTCAACGATGTCAAACGAAATTACTAAACGTGACCCGCAACCTGTTTCGCCAGATTGTCCTGCCATGGACGGAGGGAAAATTAACAATGACCGATTGGTGAATCCGAAGGCAGGTTTCAGATAGCAGATCTTTATCACCTAAATTTTTTTTTAAAGAGTGGAGCGATTTCTTTAACCAAAGGTAACTGGTAACCAATAATTGCAAATTGTATATTAAAGTTGACAGAACCAAGAAAGGTAAATAAAAAATGCAACTGAGAAAATTTTATTAACGTCGAAGAACATCTATAAACACCTAGTAAATGAGAACAATACTTTCTAGCTAGTTAAAAATAGTAAGACTTATCTGCGAAGGCTAGAATGTCAACTTAAATATGTTTTTTTTTCGAATCAATTTTTCCTTTTGTCATAACTGGCATGACAAAGCAAGCCGAAACACGCACTGATTTTGGTCACGTAACACAAACCTTTCACGTGAAACTTTTACTTTTCCACATGCACAACGAACAGAAGCGAGCTTTCCCCCTGATGTTCTGACGTCGGCAAAAAACCAAGGAGGCTTAATTACACCGGAAATATTACGTAATAACCAAACCATCATCGAGAAAAAGGGTTATTATGACTGCGTAATATTTGTGGAAGAATCTGAAAATTTAGACGAGCTATCATGCGTACATCCGTGGAGAAAACGAGGTGTGCATGTGATCGGATCATCTTCCACATACATGTCAACAGAGTAGGTCAAATCGTCCAAAGGTTTTTTTCGGGGTCAATTAACGCAAATAAACCGGAGCGGATTGAGCACTCAACACTTTTCAAATGGATTGAAAAACGGATGCAAACTTTGCCTCATAGTGTTCTGGAGTTTTCCCCGCGATTTTTATTTACGCAGAAAAGATGTGTGCATTTTCGTTGTGCAAGAATTCTTTCAGATGTTATCGTTGTAATCCAACTCCGTTTTGCTCAGAACAATAGCAATTAGGAGGATTTTCGACGACAGAAGAGCAAAAATTCCTGATTGTGAGACAAACCGCAATTATTTAGTTTTATGAGATAGGCACCCTATGTTGGTGATCCTTTTCCTGTTAGTTTGATAACCGTTATACCATCAGCACGTAACACTAAGACACCCGAATACAGTTTACAACGAAGAATTTTTTTCTTCTAAATAAATATTCATTAACTGTTGGATAGGAAACGATCTTTCACCGTTCTTATTCTATATCTCTCTCTCTCTCTTTCTTCTTTTTCTTTTTTTATTCTGTTGATTAAATCAACTCTGTGAAAAGAGAACAAGAGTCGCCCCCAACCCTAACCGTAAGCAAAGAAATCTAATACTTTAACTTTTGCAGAGTACCTTGATTGCAGATTTCTTCTTCTTTGCTGATTGGCACTGGAACTGCAATGAAACAGATGGCAAGCTAGTAAGAATAAGCCCTTCTGACACAGGCAGCCCAAGCGCTGTGGAAATATCTATTATGCTAAATATGTGTGTTAATTGAGGAAATCAAAGTTAATTTTCCATAGTTTCTCGTCTACGTGCTCGTCTGCGGTAAAAAAACGCCCTTTAGCTATTGAAGTCGATATTTCCTGTAGTATTGCTCGCGATTTGAACCGTTATACTTCAAATTTCACGCCCTCTAGTGTTCCTTGGAGATATCGTTGTCACGCAAAATATAACGTCTAGAAGCTACGTATCGTTTTGTCGAGGCTGCCTTTTGCCTCTCAATCGGCTTTCAAGCCATCCTGGTAGAATACATTTTTGTCTTCAAAGGAAGCAAATTTTACGAATCGGTGCAGCTTTCGGCTGCAGGACACAGAGTAGCCATGGATTGAAAAGATTGTACAAGTTACATTTTGCGTGATTATGAATTTTTTTAATGATGCGCAAGTGATTAAAATCTGAAGTTGAGAGGTTCAAGTCCCGAGCCACACTACAGAAAATATTGACTTAGTTTACCAAATGAGTGATTTTGTTACAAATATACAAACACACAGACTTCAAAGTAAGGAAACGTTGGGTTTGTGCTTCTGTTAAGACATCTATTCGGTAATTTTCATGATGCAGGAACCCCCAAGATATGTTTGGGCTGCCTGTGACTTAGGTATTTGCTAGGAATTTCCACTGAGGGTTTTCCCGTGAATTTGAGCTGGTCAAACTTTGGTTTCGTTGAACTGAATAGAAATAAGCTCATGGTTTTAAGCCGCACCGAAGAACAAGTCAAGAAAACTAATGGAAAGATGTCACCTACGTCATCGAAAATCGAACAGTAAGGATGGCGTAGAAATTATTTTCCAATATATCCGGTGTTCTTAAGAAATTTTCCTACGCAATAGATCCAAGTTATTAGGCTAAACGCAAAAATGCACTAAAAGAAAACAATACTGGAATAAAGATTGGGAGGCTATATTTGCGCAAGAACTTACAGGGCCGAAAATAAACGAAAAAGGAAAGAAAGTAGCAACAATTCGCTAAAAAAATAACCGAATACGAATTACGGAGCACAACAAAATATTTCCACCAAACACAAGACCTAACTTAGAGAAACATTTCTCTTACCTGCCAGAGCTCCACCAACCAGCAGAAAAGCAATAAGCACTCTCATTTTGCACCGAATTTTCGTGCAAGAGCTACTAGGATGAGCTACGAGTAGCTACTAAAGCAGTTTGCCAAAACTCATCTTTTTATACTGACAGTACATCAACGATGCCGGTGGTGTAACAAGATATCTTGGGCAGTCTATCTTATTACAAACTCTAACGAATATCCGGTGTTAATCTAGGATTACAATATTCACAGGAATGCTGGGAAAGAGAACTTAAAATAATCAGCTGCCCTTCACCCTTGATCTTAATATTAGAAAAATGATATCGTCTATATAGATTTTAAATGATTTCGGTGCAATATTTCTTTTTGACAATAATTTTACAGTTCGTGTGGGCTTTTTTAAGCTGAAGGTCATCTCCAACTTGATGTAGTTTGCATTTTAAATACAATTTTTTTCAGGTTTGTTATTCGATGTGTTAAGCGTTGATCGCTTTTGCTCTTCCAATGTTGATAGGTTTGTGATGCAAGGCAGACAAGATATCGAAGAACAGAGCCTAAGGAACAACCAAACTTGAGGTGTTTAGCTTCATTTCCGGTCCTTGTATCTCAAAATATCCCAAGAGTCGAGGGAGGGGAGTAGGGTGGGGCAAAATTAACCATGTTGCAGATACAAAACTAACTGCAAAAAGCTAAGTCGGATTTAAAGATTGGGTCGATGGGTCATGATATTTCTACTTCAGAAGAACAATTCTTTAGAAATGAAAATGAAATCGAAGTCCAATCTAGCTTCCTTTAAGAAATAGAATTACCGACCTGAATGTAATAACCCTCGGTGGTGATAAAAACTTTTGACCCAAAAAGGTTATAATTTTTTTTTCTGATTTTTTTGAATATTGAACCGGCTATTGAAAATCCTTAGGTCTCTTGCACCACTTGATGTAGTCCCTCAGGTTGTTTTCCTAATTCGATTTTTTTTCTACATTGCGTTAATTTTAGTCCGTGACTCATGCCAATGTTCTCACGTGAAAACTCTTAAGAGGACAGGCTGGAAAACATGCATAGTAACTCTACTTTGCACGAGCTCGAGGTTCCCTCCTCGTTTTCCAGAACGAATTCGAATAGAGGCTAATGCTTGACTGTCATCACATCTGTATCATGAGGCTAGCATTAAGGCACTTAGCACGTACTTTTTAACTTTCAACTTTTCTTTTACATAAGCAAAAAGAAGACAAGTGAAAGTAGAACCAAGGCTAAGAGGACTTGATCATGGAATCTAAATCCTAAGGTAAAGGCTGTCTGCAGCGTGAAACGCACTTACGAGTACTAAAGAAAGTAGGGGTAAAAAAAAATTACCATTTTATTTTATGAGTGGAGTCTCAAGTAACAATTTACGTGAAAAGTCACAGCAGGGAAGGATCCCTGGAAGAGGGAATGCACCCTTCAATATGATGCTTAAATATTACTCCCTCATAAGGCCGAGAACATTTGCGCTTTGAAATAACCGCTACGTCACAAGTTTCCAAAGTTTTGAAGGAAGACGTTAAAGACTTATCTGTAAAACTTTTAAAATATCCAAAATATGTGTGTTTATTTGGTCGCTTATAGTGTGCACATTACCTGCAAATTTTGATCAAACACTCGTGACTTTCAGCAATTGAAAGGTACACTGTAGACCCCAATGTGCTCCAGTTAACCCTTAAATCACTTGAGGGTGCAACAGAATGCATCTACAAATCCTTCTGATTAAAAAAAAGTACATTTATGACGACGGAAGACACTGAAAAATTATGATTTGTTTTCCTTTTAGAGCTGAAATGGGGAATGCCGCTTCGAAAATCTCCTATGGGGCATGCTTGTAAAAAAAATTTACACTTAAACATTTTACCAGGTCTTTCACAAATAAATAAAAAAGGAAAAGAAAAGAGAAAAAAAGCAGCATCTATTTAAAAGTTAAAGAAAGACACGTTCGCGAAGATAGAAAACAAAAGTCGGCTCTCATGAACGAAATGTTATTTTCATAGTTCAGGATCAGAGATTTTTTCAGGCGCTTCTTAACTAATGCTTAACAGCTTTCTAAAAAAAGCAATAAGAAGCATATAATCCGTGAAAGAGGGAGATGGATCAAGCTTGCATCTGTAATATGAGGAGACACCTTTACCGATTGGGATGAGAAAGGCGACTTTAAGTCTCGTAATTAGAGCAATCGGGAGAATCAATTGACTGATCCTCTTTTAATGTTATGTACTGAGCCGGAGGTTATCTTGCCGGTCTCTGATTGCACTGGAAAAACATTCGGATATCACGTGCAAACTGCAAAGCTTTCTTTGTTCGCTGGCTGCAGCAACTTCAAGCTTGAAATTTCCTACTATTATTATGTTTTTTTCCTCAGATGTAAGAAAGCTGATTAGAGAAGTCATCTACATCTATCTGTTTAATTTTGTTTGTAGCCAGACCAGAATGGGTTTTCTTTAGAACCAAATTTTCAGTCATTACGAGTGGTAAGTCACTATTTGTTATTCAGAAATGACCATTCATGTGGTTATTATCACGTAATTTCCTCATTAATCTAATTAATTACAGAGATTTCCTTTACCATACATGTACGCCGGTCAGAAATAGCGCATCGTCATCTTTGCATTGCCTTGAAGGGCTTTTTAAAACATGAAGGTCATTAATGTATTTCAGCCAAATTCAGGATGATTGGCACCTTTCAACGTACAGATTCCTTCACCCCAAGTGAAAATACCATGGAACTATCGACGGAAGTCATGTGGATATTGCTAGCGCCTCGTTAAGATATAAACCGTTTTAAATTGTATTATGAGAATTACGCGATGGAATACAGTAGGGAACTGCATGTTGGGAAAAAATGTTAAAAAAAATGAAAGGAATTGTTAGGGAAACATTTTATGGTTAATGACTTTTGAAATCCTCCAAAAATGTAAAAGAGTGCTCGCCGGATTTCTGCACGACGCTTATGGGGGTAATATAAATGCTGTGGTTAATACTTGTCTTCTCCTATTTAGCTTGACTTTGACCTTTCGTTAGCGAAAGCCATAAGAAGTTTAATTAAAAAAATGCATTTCCGAGGCCACAACTGGCTTAGGTTAGAAAACGGTAAAGCAGATAGTATATTCTTACACAGCGGGAATATAATCAACATAATACATCTAAACATAGTTCATTTGGGCTTGAATTTCTAATCTGGAAAATCAAGTTTGTACATGTAGTTTGAGAGAAGTAATGAGTTTGTTCACGTGCAAAATACGTGCTTCATAAACCTGAGAGATCTTGAGAAATCGTAGATACGTCAACAAGCACGCCTACGCACGGGAAAGAACTAGTTTTTCACTGAAAATATCTGAAAAAATCACCATCGAGTATAACAAAATTACAGTGGCTTATTATATACCTCATTCTAGGCCACCGTGAGAAACAACCGAAACAACGAACTTCGATCACAGGGTTCCAATGACGTTGGCCGGAGGTGATGTTGATAGGCAAGGCACATGCAAGACCTTTTATCTCCTCCCTTTGAATCACGGTCACAACAAATCTTTTGGTGTTAGTGAATAAAAAAGTAAATATATTTTACTTTTGTTCGTATTGAAGTTTATTTAAATACAAATAAAATTAATTGCGCCAAGAATTATTGCACAGTCAAAAATAAATCTACATTGCACACTCCTCTTTGATTTTTTTCACAGCCGCTTTTTAGGATGTCATGCAACACTTTCCGAAGGAGACTAACTTTTCTTCTCTAAACACTGTCCGGATATCTACACAAAGTTGGTCTTTAAGGCGAGATGGACTATCATTTGACCAAAGCTCCAAGATCTTTATGTGAATTTATAAAATGTGTGAAATGCCTGCAAACTCCCGCTATGGAGTTGTAATGTAGTTTGCCGCTTCCAAAGCTGAAAATTTTAACTATTCAGCGATCCATATCAAAAATGTTTGCATAATAATGTGGCTACGACACAATTAGTTGAACTTGCTTCTCAAGGAACGTGTAGCGAAATTCTCCTTACAATAACATATTCTTGTTTTCTAATGAACCAGAAGCCTCGGGAAAATTGATATTCCATACCGTTCCTACTGTTTCTTCTTTCTCTAAGCTCCTATATTTCCTCTACTCTTTAACTCCCAAGATCTGATTGCCAATTCTCCCCTCTAGCTGCTACACATTTCCTTGTAAATAAGTTACGAGAATTTGGTGTTGGATCGAGATAACTACTTCGACCTGATAAGTATGGGTATTCTCATGACCTGCTTGCTGGATAATGTTTAGAAATTACAGGGAGAAGTTACACGTTAATCACTTTTGGGAGCTATGTGGTTGAAAGAGCTTTAGCATAAGGAGCCCTGAAGGGATCTGTATTTTAGTAAACAAACTGGTCTAGGGACGAAGAAATTCTTTATCACTTCAGATTAAACATTCCATACATAGTCTAACATTAACCTGAGGACCTAAAAAAGAAATAACTCTTACCCCTTTAGCTACTTTCAGTCTTTTTCTTTACGCATTTGCCCTGACTCTGATGACTTTTTCCCTTCGCCCCCCCCCCCCCCCCCCCCCCCCCCCCCCCCTCCCCACCCATTCCATTACCCACTCTACCACCGTTGTTCTTCCCCTCTTGGGTCGATTTTTCAAGATTAAATAGTGGTCCATTATTTTTCTTGGTTATATAATTGATTTGGGATGCCACCCTTGAGAAAAAGTTTCCAACCTTAAAATTCTTGCCTCGACTTGACACAAAGTTACCGAGTGCGATCTCGAACATTCGAAGGGGGACTCACGAAGGACAAACAAGACTAACGACCCAGCCAAACTGGGCTTGTATGCTTTCAGTATCAATTGACGACAAAAATTCATAAACGCAAATGTAATAAGCTAAGAACCAGCCTACACTGTGCGTTGGCAGAAAAAAAACAAAGAAAAAAAAAGCTCCAGAAACTATTTGTGTCATTAGAAAGGAAACACATAGCCAGAAATTATAATAATAATTGGTTTGATCGAATTGATATTTAGTGCGTTATCGATAGTTGCTTCTGAATCAGTAATGAAGAAGTAAGAGGTGGAGTTTTGAACCGCAAAACATGAAGATTTGTGATACTAATCCTGGTG